CTCCCCAACCTGCGGATCAAGGTGTGCTCTGTGTCTGTTTGTGGCTATTATCCCATGCACTACTCTCCACTGAAGGTCTCCAGACCTTTTCTCTATTGGAGGCTTGTACAGGGACCTCCAGCAGCCTTTGGGGGAAGCGCCTGGCCCAAACACCTCCTGCCACTTGGACTCTCTCACACTCTCAAGTGAGTGCAGATGTGACACTTTCACACACAGTAAATACAAGGCTTTTTTCCCAGTGTTGCTAAAAAAGTCCAACTGGGGGGTCTTAAAAGAAAGCAGGCCTCCCTCAGTCTCTTGCCATATTCCAGTATTTGCTGAAAGGCATAATTCTGGAAAAGTAGAAGTCTCTTCCTCCCCACCAGATGACTCCAGAGCCAGTCTATAGTCCTGGGGCAAAAACTCACGTATTTGAGTCATCATTCTCTCCACCACTCGAACTGATCTAATGTCCAGCCTTTTAGCTAAGTTTTCAGCAGATATCCAACCATCCCCAGAGATCAAAAGTCCAATTTTTGTAATATTTGCAGTCCATAGAGCTCTTCTGAGGGAGACTGAATTTGAAATGTCCAATGCCAGTGCTGGGTTAAATAGCAGAGGTTCTTCCCTCTTCCACAGTTCCAGCGCACCATTTGGCTCTCGAGATATCTTTAACAGTGTCCACGCTCTCATTACTGACCGGTAGAATGCTGTCAGTCCTGTTAAGTCCAGCTTATCGATATCCATAAGAAACAGATGACGGTCCAGCCCCATGTTGCCTGCTCTCCTCAGAAGGGCACAGGCCACCTCGGCCCAGCTCACGTCCTTCCCGTAGAGTAGTCTCCGAACCGCCTGCAGCCTGAAAGCTCTGATCCTAGAACTAATGTCGATTAGTCCCTGCCCTCCTTCTTGAGTAGGCAGGTACAATACAGGCGCCCTCAGCCAATGCTGTCCCGACCAGAAAAAGTCCACCAGGGTTTTCTGGATTTCCTTTACTAGATCTTCTGGAGGCTCCAGAATCATCATCCTGTGCCATAGCGATGAGGCCACCAGATTATTGCAGACCAGGACCCTCCCCCTGTAGGACAGCCGAGGCAGCAACCATTTCCAGTGAGACAACCGAGCACACACTTTCTCCACTAGGCCCTCCCAGTTTCTCTTTTTATATTCCTCTACTCCCAAAAACACCCCAAGATATTTAAATCCTGTTTTCCCCCACTTTAATCCACCAGGAAGTGATGGACTATTCAGCCCAAGACCACACCAAAGAGCCTCACTTTTACCCCAGTTAATTCTAGCCGAAGATGCCTTCCCGTAACTCTCTAGAGCTCCTTTTAAAGATTGAACCTCACACTGATTACTGATTAACACTGTGATGTCATCTGCATATGCAGAGAGTTTAGTAGGTTCTTTAAAACCCATTGTATTAACATTTAAACCAGAAAGCTGTCTTCTTAATCTGCATAGCAGAGGTTCAATAGCTATGCTGTATAACTGACCCGAGAGAGGACACCCTTGCCGAATCCCTCTATGGATCTTCACAGGAGTACTGAGGCCACCAGCCATTTTAACCATACATACAGCCTCAGTGTATAGCAGTTTAATTTTAGAAATGAAAACATCCCCGAATCCAAAAGCCTTCAAAGTATTAAAAAGAAAATTGTGGTCAACTCTGTCAAAAGCTTTTTCCTGATCTAATGACAGAAACCCAATATTAATGTTGTTTTGAAAAGCAAAATCAAGCATATCCCGTACCAAATGTAAATTATCTGTGATGGACCGATCTTTGATACAGTAAGACTGATCCTTGTGTATAATTTCATTCAATACAGTATTTAGTCTGTTGGCTAGACATTTGGAAAAGATTTTATATTCCGTGCATAAAATTGCTACAGGCCTCCAGTTCTTTAAAAGCGTTAAATCGCCCTTTTTTGGGAGCAGTGTTAAAACAGCCCGCCGACAGCTTGTAGGAAGGATTCCTTCCGTAATGCAGTTTTGCAAAACCTCAAAATAATCATGTCCTAAAACAGTCCAAAAGTTCTTATAAAATTCGGCAGGTAATCCATCCAAGCCAGGTGCGCGTCCAGAGGAAAGGCCCATGACGGCAGCGGTGACCTCCTCAAAGGAGAGTTCAGTCTCTAACAACAGCTTATGCTCAGGAGTTAACACAGGAATGGTCTGTAACAGTTCATTTGTGCACTGCTCATCCGAGGTTCCAGCAGTAAATAAATCAGAATAAAAGTTCACAGCAATTCTGCGCATTTTTACTGGATCAGAGGTGTCTTGTCCATTATTTTCTTTTAAACAATACATCTGTTTTTCTTGTCCAGTTTTTCTTTCCAAATTAAAAAAATATGAAGTTGGCCCATCCATGTCCCTTGTTGTTAAAAAACGGCTCCTTACAAGGGCTCCTTTAACTTTTTCATTCAGAATGAAATTCAGCTGATGATTTTTTTCGGTCCACTGCCCTTGTAGATCTGCAGCATCATTAACAGTCATGTTTTTCTCAATATCAATGATCTCCTTTTCAAGCAACTCTAATGTCTTTTTTAGAGCCAAAGAAGAATGGGCTGCATATTGCTGACAGAATCCTTTTATGTGGATCTTGCTGATTTCCCACCACTGAATTATACTTTCATACAAACACTTTTCAGCTTTACAGGTTTCCCAAAAAACTCCAAAGTTCTCACAGAAGTACTTATCATCTAGAAGTTTAATGTTAAAGTGCCAGTAATAACTCCTTTGAGCTCTTTCCACCAATGAGCACTCTATTGTAATGAGTTTGTGATCAGAAAAAGATGTGGGAGTGATAGCTGTGTGTTTAACTCTATTCCTCATTACATGTGATGTATATAACCTGTCCAAACGTGCCCCAGAGATCCTACCATTACTAAATTTTACCCATGTATATTGCTTATTTAATAGATTTTGTTCCCTCCAAACATCCGATAAATTAAATTTTTTAATTACATTGCTTAAGACTGCAGCTGACAGTGCGTGAGGTTCTTCTCCATTCCTATCTTTTGTAAAGTCTAAAGTGCAGTTCCAATCTCCTCCTAATATTATTAAGTCCCCATCCTGCTGTTGGCTTATTATTGTATCCAGCTTGTTAAAAAACTTCACCCTGTCTGTTCCTAAATTAGGAGCATAAATATTTATGAACACAAAAACAAGATTTCTAATTTCAGCCCTAATAATTAGCAATCTTCCTGGTTCAACCTCTTCTTTCGATAAAATTTTTTCTTTAAGACCAGGTGAAAAAAGCACAGCCACTCCTGCACTCAAATTAGTCCCATGACTGAGAACCTTCTCTCCTTCCCACCACAAACCCCAATCAACCTCATTCCCTTTATCACTATGAGTCTCCTGCAAAAAGACAACGTTTAGATCTTTCAATCGTATCATTTCTGAAAGTAACCATTTTTTCTTCCCATCCCTCATCCCATTTACATTTAGAGATCCCACCCGTAAGGTCTCCATTAGGAAAAGAGAGAGGAAAAGGAAGCAGTAAATAAAAGATAAACTCATAGTCATAATTATTTATTTTTTCCCCTCGTCTTTCCTGGTTTCTTACCTACTCTTAAAGTAGTTAAATGTTTCTTTAAACGAAACCTCTTTTGTTGCGAAAGCTCATCATAATTGCTCATTTTTCTAGCCCACATTACAGAAGAAATAAACTTCTTTATATCAGGGAAGTAATCTTCTATTTCAACACCGGATTTTCCTTTTGTTTCGTCAAGAAAGGAATTGATTTGTTCAACAGTATACATGTCCTTTACATCCTCTGACCACTGCTCATCATTCTTCATTCCATCATTGCTACACTGAGATAAATCCTCCATTTCATCATCCATATTTTCCTTCTCACCTTCTACCTGCTCTGTATCATTCCTCTGACCCTCATCCCCAACATCACCTTGAGACTCACTCTCATTTACAATATCAGACCTACACACTGATTTATCAGGAACAAAACTGCAGCCAGGTTGTTCCTCACTTCCAATGATTACATTGTTGTGTTCACTTACCTCCTGCTGTCCCTGCTCTTCCTCTGTAGTAACTTTATCCTGCTCTTCAGCATTTTTTGTTCCTGTATTAACGATGTCCTGTGCGTCAGATGTGGACTCGCGCTGTTCATCTTTGTGCGGACAAGCAAACCGCTTATGGCCCAGATCGCCACAATCAAAACAGCGCAGACTGTCGGTAGTGGCATACACCATGAAAGAATTCCCTCCTTGATTAACACGGAAAGAGACTTCCAACGTTCGCTCCGGTGAATTTAAAAACATGTAAACCTGACGTCTAAACGACAGGACATGCTTTAGAGCGGTGTTTTTACAGCCTAAGGGAATCATTCGCGCAGGACCCGCGATTTTACCAAATCTTTGCAATTCTTTAATGATAACATCGTTTGATACAAACGGCGGAACATTTGAAATGGTAACTTTTGTTGCTGGAGCGGATAGCGGAGTAACCGGTACAAATGCTTCCTTCACCCATATGCCACTAACAGTCAATTGATTAACTAGCGCCTCAGACTTTAAAAACACAACAACCGCCTTATTCATCCGAGAGGCCGAGATTATATTTTCAAAGTCCACCTGTTCTCCTATCACCAGTAGCAGATCCTCCACTGTCACTCCGGGTTCCGGCACACACCGGCACCCGTTTCGCAGTGACAGTGTCGGCGTTCCTGGCGTGGGAACAGACGCCATTTTGGCGTCTTAAACGCACACTCAGAACTTTCCTACTCTGTATAAAGACGAGAGGAAAAAACAAAAAAAGGAAACAGAAAGAAACGCGAAGTCTCTCAGCAAACACACCCAACTCTCACGCTCACTCAACAATCACACCGGAAGTGAGAGAGAGAGAGAGAGAGAGAGAGAGAGAGAGAAAAACACTTATTTCCGTATGAACGATGTTACTTAATGACCATTGTTGTAATGTTACCAGTTTCTTTACTGAAAACTACACGACCCATGATTCATTGTTTACAGTGCAGAATTGTAGCTGTAGGCTAGTTTAACGCACCTTGCTAACGCCTCTGTAGACCTGCACGACTCGAGGGTCCAGCTGAGGATCGGCTCGTCCTGACACCTCTGACATCACCGTTCCCACCTCAGTCTGCTTCTCCGTAATCTTCTCCATGATGATGTCGGCTAGCGTGCGTCTGTCACACACACACACACACACACTTATACATTTAGCAGACGCTTTTATCCACAACGACTAGCACTGCATTTCAAGACACACATTTACATTCTTGCTTTCCCTGGGAATCAAACCCTTGACTTTGGTGTTGCAAGCACAGACACTACTGTTTAAACAGGAAAGCTCATGTTAGCACACACACACACACACACACACACACACCTGAGTGGCGGGTTCTTGTTCATGAACATCTCGATGGCTAACTCGTCCTCAGGATCCACGTCCACCTCTCGGCTCTCCTCCACATGATGACCCAGAGCCGGCCACTCCTCGTCAGAGTCTCCATCCTCTGCGCTCGCACCTGAAACACACGTGTGCTTTTATAGACCGTATACAAATGCGTGTGTAGAGTGTATGACGATACAAATATGTGCGTAGAGTGTGTGACGTTACCTATTATGTTTCTGAAGCCCAAAGTGGGCGGAGCCGGCCGTCACCATCTAGGCCGCGCGTCACTCCCGGATAAGCTAATATGTGCAGCGAGGCGGATTAGCTGAGGTGACGTGACACTAACGCTTGGTTAAAACTAGGGCTGGGTATTGAGACAAATTTCACAATTCGTTTCGATTTCGATTCACAAGCTTGCAATTCGATTCGATTACGATTCGATTCGATTCAATATCGATTATTTTGGATATCAGTTACAATAAATGGCAAATTTTCTCAAGGGAATCAAATCTCTTAACTAATGCTGTAACTATGGGAGTCTAGTTGTAGACTATAGACTTCATTAGCCTAATATGAAGGTAATAATGAACTGTTTTGTAGCTATACAAACACTTAAATTACACTTTTATTTATTTTTATAATAAGAAGATTATATGAAATATAAACATTTAAATTGTGGCTGTCATAAAATCTTGCCAGATTTATTCAAATATGCATTAAATATTGAAGAACATTAAGATTATAATGCATATGTAATATGGTGTATATATTTAGCAAAATGCTCCTCTCTAGAGTTATTTTTTCTAGCTGACTAACGAGTTTATGTGGGTTTTCTGAGGTAAATATGACGATACATTGATTACAAGCTGTTTAACTGACGTCTTTCCACGGTTGAAACGCTGATTGAGCGAATCGATGTGACGTGATACAGATTTGGATAAGTTGTCCTCTATCTTTAACACACTTTCAGATGCTCATTCATGTTTATTTGGCGCTGTGACTGGTATTATTAAGCCGGAAGAGAGATCAGCGCTGCTGCTTCTCCAGAGCGATCTCACGCCACAGCGACAAAACGCTATTTATGTTTTTGAATTTCTAAAGAAAATGGACATAATTTGAAAATTGAGACTTTGTTTCATATCAATAGTAACAAAGGACAAAGATTATTGCGATTTTTTGGATGCGCTCAGCCGCGATACAATGTCCCATTCATTCAAATGAAACAGGATGACTAATCGATTCTTGAGATTTAAGGATCGATATCGGTTCGTAAAAATGAGAATCGATTAATATCGAAAAATCGATATTTATTACCCAGCCCTAGTTAAAACCTCACTCCCAAGGACTCGAGAGGCACGCTAGCGACTGAGGTCTTTATTGTCCTTGTCAGCGCCCAGACTGGGGTCGAATCCCACTCGGAGCGAGATGAGAAATTTGGTGCCGTGACCCGTGTGGGAGTGAGGTTTAGGGGGCGAGTGTAACAGATCTAGGCCACACACAAACATCACTTCCCTGGAATCAAACGGCGGGCGAGCTGCTTTAAAGCTATTTTATTTACTTTTTAGAGTTAATTGTACAGATTTACAGATGACTTGATACTGACTGTATTGAGGAGTTTCATGTATACAAGAGTGTTTTTGCACTTTTCCTGGTCACACACAACTTCCCTGCACTCACTGTTGTAAGTTACACCTCCATGCCGCCAATTCAATGTTTTAATTTCCAGACATAGTAAATGCTGTAGTTGTGCTAACGGTAAAGCCGTTGGTTCCGTCCATAGACGGTTCCATCCAAAATGGCGCCATCTAGCGAGTGTTGTGGAAAGTTTCACCTCAAGAGTTCTGTACTGTTCGCTAACTCATGCTGGTCCACTCACCTAGCCGAGTCGCGGGCTGTCTCTTGGGCTCTGCCGCCAGCCCCAGCTCCGTCTGCAGCTCGTCCTGCTGGATCCGGGCCTGTTGCAGGATCCTCCGGGACAACTTCTCGTCGACATACTCCTGCTCCTCGAGAGTCCGGGCTCGGTTCTTCACTCGCCCGCTGGCCCGAACCGTGTCTCCCTGTAGGATCTGATCGGCCAGAGACACGCCGGAACCGCTTACATTACTCCTCTTTACCTTCGGCATGATGACGAATTAATATTATTATGATTATATCGGCCTGAACTCATGACACGCAGCCGCGCGCCGAACACACGTGCGTCTGAACCGAGGAAAATGGCGCAGTGTGTTTGCGTGTGTGTGTGTGTGTGGCTGATCTGAGATCAGATGAATGGAGCGAGCTACTCTATTTTTTATTGAAGGATCACAGGGGATACATGTATCACACACTAACAATAGGACAAGAAACTAGAGGTAAAAAGGGAAAGCAAGGCAGTAAAATACAGTGAGATATATATAAAAAAACATTTAAAGCAATAAATTAAACATGGGGAAGTAGATGACATGGGGGGGATATTAAAAATTGTCATCTAGGAAATCAGGAGGTAAATATATTTTGTAAACAAGAGTCATAGAATAACTTTAAATTCTAAAATTGTGCTTAGAATCAGTGACTGCACATGTGTGGAGATAATTCAGGATACCGAGCGCTAATCTTCATCTTTATTGATTTCAAAAACAGTACAGAAACTGCAGAAAAACACTTTATATGGGAATCTCTCCAACCGACGGATTATTGTCACAAATGTCATTTCACAAATAAAACTTAAAAGAAGTCTAACTCTATATTTTAGAATGTGTTTCTTTAATTATCTAACGTCGGTTACCGGTTTGTCTTCATCTTGCTCCTCTTTTTATTTATTTTATTTTCTTTCTTAAATTTAGTCTCAATGGAAGTGTGTTATTTTGTTATGTCCATTCTGCAAAAAGAGATAAAAAAAATATATATCGTTCCCTCATAACAGCTGATCTCAGGTCAGAACCATCAGTATAGGTCAGCGCTGATTTACACTGTTTACTTCCGGTCACGTGCTCTGTGCGGCTCAATCGACGTTTCGGACATATGCGATCATTTTATTGATGTTTCTAAATAATTACGGATATTTATGACTGTCCGATTAAACATTCCCCACTTTTAACTGATTTTGTGTTTATTCGCGAAAGCCGGATTGACCCGGAAGTAAATACGGGCTCGCGGGATTTTGCAGTAAATAAATGGGTGTAACGTGGTGAGAAACACTTTTGTTTTCATATTATTGTTTAAAAGTTTTGTTTTTACCTGTCGTTTTGAGTACTCTGGTTCTTATAAAACTGTTATTGTTAATATTAAGAAACAAAGCGATTCAATATCTCGTTTATATTCCATATCTTCCATTTGTTTTGTAAACACTGCCGTTCAAAAGTCTGGGATCGGTGAGATTATTCATGTCTCTTCTGCTCACCAAGGCTGTATTTATTTGATTAAAAGTACAAAAAAAAAAATAATATTGTGAAATATTATTAAAGTGTAATTTATTCCTGTGATCAAAGCTGAATTTATCATCATTACTCCAGTCTTCAGTGTCACATGATCCTTCACAAATCACTCTAATATGAGGATCTGATGATCAACACACAGTTATGATTATTATCAGTGTTGAAAACCGCTGTGTACATTTTTATTTCAGGATTCTTTGATGAATAGAAAGTTCAAAAGAACAGCATTTATCTGAAATAGAAGCTTTTGTAACTTAAATGTCTTTTGCTGTAAATTTTCATCAATTTAATTTATCCATGATGAATAAATGTACTGATTTCTTTCATTTCTTTCCCCACAAAAATAAAATAAATTATTACTGACCCCAAACTTATGAATGGCAGTGTTTGTAAATTGTAAATAAATGGTAGTGTTTGTATGTAAATAACTGTTTAACACTGATAATAATCATAAAACGTGTCTTGATCATCAGATCCTCATATTAGAGTGATTTCTGAAGGGTCATGTGACACTGAAGACTGGAGTAATGATGATAAATTCAGCTTTGATCACAGGAATAAATTACACTTTACTGAATATTCACATAGAAAACAGATGATTTACATTAGAATAATATTTCACAATATTACTGTTTTTAATTTATTTTATTTTTAATCAAATAAACACATCCGTGGTGAGCAGAAGGGACTTTAATTATTAAAAACATTAATAATCTTACTGATCCCAAACTTTTGACTGGTAGTGTGGGTAAAAACAAATTTGGCCAGTGATATGAAGGGTGTGTGTGTCAGTGTGTGTCAGGTGCCGGTGTCAGAGGGCAAGAGCGTGCAGCAGACGGTCGATGTCCTGCACAAGAAGCTGGAGACGCTGGGCGCCGTCAAACAGGGGAACTTCTGGGTCGACTGCGAGACGTACCACGCCACGGGGAACGCCACTGGTAATCGCGCGCACTGTTACCATGGAGACCACACCACATATCACCATGGTGACGCATCTCTCTCTCTCTCTCAGGTCAGCCGAGTAAGCTGCTGTACGTGATGCATAACTCGGAGACGCCGCTGAGCTGCATGGCCCTGTTCGAGGGCGGACCGGGGCTCAGCGCTGACGCTAACTTCGACGTCCTGATGGTGAAGCTCAAGAGCCACTTCCAGAATGCCAAAGGGCATAAAGTGGAGAGTCGCGGCTGCCGCTATCGCTACTGCGACTTCCTGGTGAAGATCGGCACCGTCGCCATGAGCTCCAGCGCTAGAGGCATTTCAGTCGAGGTGTGTGCTCTCACTCACGAACTGTGCGGACGTTTCACACAGAAACTAACCTACATTTCAGATTTACGGAAAACCGTAGAAACAACAAAATAAACACTTTCATTCACTAAGTGTGCGGACGCATGAATTTGTATGCTTTTACGATCAAATCATGATTCAGCAGTAAATCTCGCACTGACGTATAGTTCAAATTTGCGTTACAAAAATTTACAAACGCAAAAAGGCTAAAATGCTAAAAAACGTTAAAAACGCACAAAAGTTATAAATGCTATAATCACTTTCATTCACTAAGTGTGCGGACACATTAATTTGTATGCTTTTACGATCAAATCATGATTCAGCAGTAAATCTCGCACTGACGTATAGTTCAAATTTGCGTTACAAAAATTTACAAACGCTAAAAAACGCAAAAATGCTAAAAACGCACAAACGCAAAAAGTTACAAACGCTATAATCACTTTCATTCACTTAAGTTTCACACACGAACTGTCGTATTAACGTTCATTTTAAATTTACGGAAAAAAAAAAAAACACGTAGGAAACAACTTAGAGACAAATACTCTACCCAAAAAAGACATCGCTCGAAGCTGGACATTTTGTGGGGAATTTTTTTACCGTTATAATTTTTTTTTTCACGAAATCAATTAATTCGCAACATGATTCGCACAGTCACGCTATTACTCTGATGACGACACCCACTGGAGGTGAACGTAATCGGCGACAGGATAGCTTAGCCTTCGTGTTAAAATTAAATTAAATACACAGATATTTAATCAAATACACCGAGTAGGGATGGGCAACGATTAATCGCGATTAATCGTTAGCAAAATAAAAGTTTGTGTTTACATAATATATGTGTGTGTAGTGTGTATAATTTATTTGTATATATAAATACACACACATGCATGTATATATTTAAGAAATATTTGCATGTATGTACTTTATACATAATTAATATTATATATAAATATTTGACATATTAATAACACATTTTTCTTTTCATTTTGTATACACAAATTAATTATACACACTACACACACATATATTATGTAAACACAAACTTTTATTTTGCTAGTGATTAATCGTTGCGCATCCCTAACAGCGAGTAAGAGTAAGAAATGCCACATTAAAGCTCGAGCTGTGAAACTTTGGAGGAAACTTTGCGTTATCGTACAATGATGTGTACGAATTTACACCGAAATTCATGTGTGTATGTATATATGTTTTGTGAATTACCAGAATTGTTGTGAATAAAATCCGTCGTCTAATGCACAGTAGTGTGTGTGTGTGTGCAGGTGGAGTACTGCGCGTGTGTGATCCCTGGAGACTGCTGGAACCTCATGAAGGAGTTCATGCAGAGTTTCCTGGGCCCACACACTCCCGAGCTGCCGGCGGTGTTCACCAGTAAGCCCGAGGGCCTGAGCGTGCCGGTGGACTGCATGGACACCATGAGCCAGTACCTGGAGCTGTTCGGCCGGGTCCGCAAGCAGCAGGTTCTGCCCGGCAGCGGCGTGCGATGAGACCGGCGCTGACACTCCTGAGACAACATTTCTCGTTTCCTTTGTGTGTGTGTTATTCCAGTAGTGGGGCTTATTTTCTGTGTACATTGGATTTTGTAAAATAAAGAGTTTACTTTGAATTGCAATCGTTGCATTAACAATAGTGCCGTGCAACAATTAATCGGTACTTCGGAGGGCGTATCAACAGTCCTGTGATTCAGCAAACTAGGCTTTGTTGCGTCACAAAGTGATTTACCACTAAAAGAGTGATATTTATATTTAAAAACACACAAAACATTCATAAAACGATACAAATTATACACACATACTTAATGGTAGAAGATTTCCCTTGAGACATGTTTAAACCGGTTCTGGTTTTGTAAAATAATTTGTTCAATTGATTAAGAGATCCAATAGTTTTAACGAAAACGAGACACAAAAAAACACTAGATGTGTTCAGATTTAGTTTTGCTTGAAGAACGTCAGCTTTGATGTTTGAGCAGGAATGCACATTTGCATAACAAAAGCCGAACAGATGAAGGCACAGATAATTGGCTATAAATTCACATTAATTTGAATATGTATGAGCTAAAAACACTGTGGATAAATTCACATGCGACCAGCCGTATATAAACTACGAGCTTAAAATCAGCAATATTCAACACAGTAGGTTACATGGTATTTTATTTTAACATAATTATTATTATTTTACAATCTCAGTTGAAACTCTAGGCTCGATCTGATTTAACTACAGTCGCAAAGCATGCTGGGTAGCCAGTAAAGCCTCATTGCAGAAACGTGTGTATGTTACTTTAACGGTAAAGTCCATATGTTGCCCTTGTTTGCAATCTGTCCCAAACATTTGCATATATAATCATTGAATTTATTACTTATAAACTTAATGCAAAATAAATCACATTATGGTCTGGACGAGGTTAATCTGTTCATTTGACTCCGCCTCTGGAGCTTTAAAACCTGACGGACGTCTCAACAACCGCATGAAAAGCCGGCTTAAAACGGGCTTAAAAGCGCCAACTTCGCTAACTCGACCAATCAGAACACGTCGTTACGTGAGTGATCGCTCCTCAGCCAATCAGAGCGCAGTGACGCCCGCGCTGGGCAGGTTCGGTTGAGGCGTAAATGGTGACAGCTCGCGCGTGCGGATGATGGCGGTAAATAACAGCCGAAAGCGAGTGTAAAACAAAACAAAACAACCCTTTAATATTTGCCGTAATTTTAATTATTAAAAACATTTGCCGGCTGTTTCGTGGAGGACTCGCGCGGAGGAGCCGACTAAAAGCTGATCGGGGGTTTTCGGTGTGAGTTTATTCTGTAGCTGCGGCTCTTGAACTGGTTTTTGTTCAACGGATTTAAAGTAACAGATCTCTCGCGCCGGTATAAACACACACAAACACACACACACACCGATCGAGCCCCGGTACCGGAGCCTCCCGGATCCGCCGATACCGAAGATTCCGCGTGTCTCCCGGTGGAGCGTCTTTTGTTCTGTAAGTAGCGCTAGCGGGTTAGCACACACACACACACACACACTCATACACACACAAACATTCAAACAACAGAGACAGACACGCACACACACTTATAACACACATCTCATGCATTCATATACGCACACAACATTGTGTGACAAACAAATAACGTGCATAAATACTAAAGACCGAGTCTTCTTGTAAACAAACACAACTGCACTCTTTCAAACACACATACTTTGTCAAATGCAATGTACGATAACCACCAAGCTAACAAAAAATATCAAGTTATTAAAATATCTCTGAACATTCAAAACATTTTTTTATGTCTTAACGTTCTTTCCTGTTATGCGAACATTCCATTGTAGCATCCTTCAAATATTATGGAACGTTACTTTTGAATGTTCTGTGAACGTTCTGAAACAAGTTGTAACATTTAAAAAAAAAACCGTTAGACGAACGTTTTAGGGAGAGGGAGGGGCTTAATGAACGTTTTTGTGCGAACGTTTGGGGAACTATTAAAGGCGAGACAACTTTGAACGGATGTTCTATTATTGTTACTGGAAGAACGTTGTTCACAACATTGAGAGAACGTTAGCTCTAAAGTTCTGAAAACGTTCCCTGTTCGCTACACGCATTATAAAATTCAGTTAATTCCCCTGAGGAACAGATTCTGGTACTAGGATGTTGCTAAGGTCAGGAGGACTGAATCGTTTGATGCCACAGATTTCACTTTTGTATGTTCGAGTTGGGTGTGTAAATAAAGTGTTTCTCGTCCACAGTGTGTGTCGGGCATTATGAAGTCCTGTGAACGGTGCGGCAGCAGGACATGTGCGCTCTGATGCTGGAGCTCTCCGTTTCTCACAGTGAGTCCGGTTCTACTGTTTTATGAGCAATTCTACGTTCCCTCATCCTTTCCTCGGGTCTTAAGATTATCAGCCCTAATGTCTAAACCATCTGAGGTAGACTGACCACGAGCTGTGAGGTTATGAAGCGAAGGTTTTTGCTCCTATTGAAGCTATACGTTTATATGAACTCAACCTTGTTTAAAGAAAAACATGTTTTTTCCGCCATCTTATAAAAAAAAAACGTACTTCCGGTCTTCAATTTTTTCGTGACATAGGCCTATTGTTCAAAATTCATGTATAACTAATTGCGGAAAGGTTTTGATCCACTTCAAATGTTGACTATTTATTTATGATCTATTGATCAAGTCTAGTAATTTTAAGGTGAATAAAATAAAAAACGAGGGAAGGATGACGCATACCATTGAAATGAATTACTTGAAATAATATGTGTTTGTAAGCAACGTCTCTCTCCCTGTTATCTTCAGGATGAGCGCGGCCATCATGGCGTGTGGTTCCTGACTGCTAATGCTCATGCGCGTTGGGAGACATGGATCGCTGTAAGCATGTGGCGCGGTTCCGCTTGGGCCACGGCCACTCGATCCTCAACCCGCAGATGTGGCGCTGCGTGGACTGCGGCACCACGGAGTCGGTGTGGGCGTGTCTGAAGTGCACTCATGTGGCGTGCGGTCGCTACATGGAAGAACACTCGCTGACCCACTTCCAACAGACGCAGCACCCGCTAGCCATGGACGTACGCGAGCTCGCCGTCTTCTGTTTCGCGTGTGGCGACTACGTGTTGAACGATAACGTCGAGGGTGACTTGAAGCTCCTCCGCGGGGCGCTATCAACCGTCCGAATCCCTGGTCAGCGTTCCCTGCGTTCGTCAACATCCGACGGCGGGTTTAGAGCGTGCGATGTTAGAGTGTCACGTCCGTCCGCGCGTACGGCGTTGTGGCACCGACGGAAAACCCTCCTACAAAGTGCGTTACGCCGCTGGAGAAACCGGCAGCAAGACGAAGAGAGGAAGCGTGAGGAAAAGCAAGAGCAAGAACGTGAGGAGAAGCGACGACAACGCAGGGAAGTCAAGAAACGGTTAATGGGAGAGCTAGTGAATGTCCCACCGAGGAAAAGCGCGCGGTTGCTAACACAGGCTCCCCGTACGACGCTCGCCCTCATCCCTCGAAAGTTCCGCGATCCTCCGGAACGACTGCCTTCGGCTCCCAAACAGCCGCTTTTGTCGGTGTCCGGCAAGACTCTTTCGCGCAAGACAAGTCGTTTACGCCGATATCACGCGTCGCAGTCGGCGCGGCGCAGGAAGCTAGCGCCGGGAGTCACTGGACTTCGCAATCTTGGGAACACGTGCTACATGAACTCCATCCTTCAGGTTTTGAGCCATTTGCAGAAATTTCGGGAGTGTTTCCTCACGCTGGACTTGTGCGAGACCGAGGAGCTCCTCGCTAAGACTAACCAATCACAAGGTGTGGGGGGCGGAGCCAGGACCCTCGCTACGCTAGTCCCGCCCAGTTTGAGCTCAGCAGAACTGGTGCAACCGAAAGAGCCGCGGTCCTCGTCTCGACAGAAGATGTCCTTGTGTCACGAGTTGCACACGCTCTTCCGGGTCATGTGGTCGGGCCGGTGGTCGCTAGTGTCTCCGTTCGCTATGCTACATTCCGTGTGGAACCTGATTCCAGCGTTTCGCGGATACGACCAGCAGGACGCGCAGGAGTTCTTGTGCGAGCTTCTGGATAAAGTCCAGCAGGAACTGGAGTCGGACGGACCGAAGAAGCACTTCTTAATCCCGCTCACACAGCGGAAACTGTCCAAACAAGTCCTCAAAGTGCTCAACACTATCTTCCACGGACAGCTGCTCAGCCAGGTGACGCTAGCGCTCAAACTAAACATTCTGATTACAATTTCGATTCTAATTCATCCCAATCAGTCCAGTACATTGATACACACAAGGACAGAACACACAGTCTCTCGCTCCAGAGCTTTACATTGAGATACACACAGAGGAATCAATCATTTTAACATTATAACGAGTATTCGATTCCAGAAATGGATTTTCGATTCCCAACTCTAGGTGACATGACTAGAATTAATCGATAAATGCATTTAGGACTAAATTGCTGTGTGAATGATTGGATTTCCATGCAATAATCCGCGTTTCTCAACGGCAGGTCACGTGTCTGTCCTGCAAGCGCAAGTCGAACACGGTGGAGCCGTTCTGGGATCTGTCTCTGGAGTTCCCGGAACGATACCACCGCATGGAGAAGCCCAGCGCCGCGTGTCAGCGGAGCTGCTCCCTGTCCGAGATGCTCGCCAAGTTCACGGAGACCGAAGCCTTGGAGGGCTGCATTTACGCCTGCAACTTCTGCAACCGTACGTCGCATCTTTCTTTCTTACATTTTTTTATTAAAGGGAAATTAAGTTTCTGTCAATAATTACTCGCCCTCATGTCGTTCCACACCCGAAAGACCTTCGTTCATCTTGGACTATTTTAACAATGTCTTTCCCACCTTTCTGGGCCTTCAAAGTTGCAATGTTGCAGTCAGTAGAGGGACAGATTTCATCATACATATCTTCATTTGTGTTCTGAAGATGAACGAAGGTCTTACGGGTTGTGGAACGACATGCGGGCGAATGATTACTGACAGAAACTTAATTTCTGGGTGAACTATCCCTTTAAGCTTTACATAAACAGGGAACCATTATTTTGATGATTATGGCTTACAGCTTATGAAAACCTTATCACAATATAAATTTGGGGTTTTCATGTCTGTAAGGCATAATCATCAAAATTATAACAAATATAGGCTTGAAATATCACACTTTGCATGGAATGAGTCTATATAACGTATTAGTTTCACATTTTAAGTTAAATTACATAAATAATTGAACTTTTGCACGATATTCACATTTTTCGAGTTGTATACATGTAAAAGAAAGTCACTCTAAATCAGTAAAAGATGATAAAAGAAAGACAAACATGTAAATGGCTCTCACTTATAAGGACGTCTTTCTCACAGACGTCAAGAACTGTTCTTCCCTCTAATTACTGATGCATTTATCAAACCTTCCCGTTTCAGGAAAGCGCCGCAAATCGTCCCACAAGCCCCTGTCTCTCTCAGAGGCCTGTAAGCAGTTACTCATCTGCCGTTTACCTCAGGTCCTGCGGCTACACCTCAAACGCTTCCGGTCAGTCACAACCCTTCCCATGGGTCACCTTGTTTCACTTAGTTCACTTTAAAATGAAAATTAGCCCATGAAGCTTGGAAGAGCCAGGACATTTTGTAATTTAACTGATTGTGTTGGTCTGAAAGAAGAGTGTCGTATACACCTAAGATGGCTTGAGGGAGAGTAAATCATGGGCTAATTTTCATTTTTGGGTGAACTGTCTCTTTAAGTTTGAACCCAGCTCGTCCTAACGCTTCTTATGTTTCCAGGTGGTCCGGTCGGAACCACAGGGAGAAGATCGGTGTCCACGTGGCTTTTGATCAGGTCCTGAATATTCAACCATACTGTTGCTCGGACGCCGCTCCGATGCCGCAGAGAGAAGCCTTTACCTATGACCTTTCTGCTGTAGTGATGCATCATGGGAAAGGCTTTGGCTCAGGGCACTACACGGCCTACTGTTATAACACTGAAGGAGGTGAGACACGGCTCTTGGCTAGCGAGTCTGGGGTTCATGTGGTCGTACTCTTTACGTCTCCTACCGACTAAAGGCCCGTTCACAGAGAGGACGATAACGATAAAGATAATCGTTCTCCAAATGAAAGAATGACAGAGTTCACGCCACAACTATAACAACAGCGATACAAGGAACGATATCATTAGGATCACTTTCAGAACAATTTTTTTGCTGCCCGTCGAACGATAAAATACTGACAGCCAATCAGAATTCTAGCCATTGAACGAAAAAACACTGAGAGCCAATAAGAATTCCAGAAGGCGAATAGGTTAGAATTCCAGCCGGCGAACGATAAAACACTGACAGCCAATCAGAATTCCAGCTGTTGAACGATAAAACACTGACAGCCAATAAGAATTCCAGCCGGCGAATAGATTAGAATTCCAACCGGCGAACGATAAAACACTGACAGCCAATCAGAATTCCAGCTGTTGAACGATAAAACACTGACAGCCAATCAGAATTCTAGCCGTTGAACGATAAAACACTGAGAGCCAATAAGAATTCCAGAAGGCAAATAGGTTAGAATTCCAGCCGGCGAACGATAAAACACTGACAGCCAATCAGAATTCCAGCTGTTGAACGATAAAACACTGACAGCCAATAAGAATTCCAGCCGGCGAATAGATTAGAATTCCAACCGGCGAACGATAAAACACTGACAGCCAATCAGAATTCCAGCTGTTGAACGATAAAACACTGACAGCCAATCAGAATTCTAGCCGTTGAACGATAAAACACTGAGAGCCAATAAGAATTCCAGAAGGCGAATAGGTTAGAATTCCAGCCGGCGAACGATAAAACACTGACAGCCAATCAGAATTCCAGCTGTTGAACGATAAAACACTGACAGCCAATAAGAATTCCAGCCGGCGAATAGGTTAGAATTCCAACCGGCGAACGATAAAACACTGACAGCCAATCAGAATTCCAGCTGTTGAACGATAAAACACTGACAGCCAATCAGAATTCTAGCCGTTGAACGATAAAACACTGACAGCCAATAAGAATTCCAGACGGCGAATAGGTTAGAATTCCAGCCGGCAAACGATAAAACACTGACAGCCAATCAGAATTCCAGCTGTTGAACGATAAAACACTGACAGCCAATAAGAATTCCAGCCGGCAAATAGGTTAGAATTCCAGCCGGCGAACGATAAAACACTGACAGCCAATCAGAATTCCAGCCGGCGAATAGGTTAGAATTCCAACCGGCGAACGATAAAACACTGACAGCCAATCAGAATCCACTCGAATTTAAAGGGCTCGGGCATTTAAAATGGCAGAATACATAGTGGAGAAGTTAATCACCGAGATACAGAAAAATCCACGCCCTTTTCAAGGATACGTTAAAAATTTATACGTTAAAAAGCAATCGGTCGTACCCTTGGAATAAATGGTGAGAAGTGTTAACGATAAGATCATTAAACCTGTTCATAATGTTTTTGTGTGTTCTCACAGCAACAAAACCTTTACCAAGTTTTGTACTATTCTGATGAATTAATAAAAAAACGTTGTTTTGTGTGTGTGTGTGTGTGTGTGTGTGTGTTTGTCTTGCAGGTTTCTGGGTTCACTGTAACGACTCTGAGATGAACGTGTGCAGTGTGGAGGAGGTGTGCAGCACTCAGGCCTACATCTTGTTCTACACACAACGCTCCTCTTAAACCTGTCTGTCTCTCTATCTGTCTCTCTTTCTTCTCTCTTTACCTGTCTCTCATTGGAGGTCTGTTCCTGACATCAGCAGTGAGACTCAGAGATTGATTGGTCTCTGCTGGCACAGTCACACTTTATCCAGGGCATTCAGGACCAAACTACTCACCGTCAGGGTCCAGAACAGCAGGGACATAGACACACACACACACTGAAGTCCCTCTGCTGTCGAAGAGAGACAGACGGATCATCCTGGAGAGAAAAATGCGACAGCAATATGATCATCAAACACTCTGAATCAGGAATTCTTCACCTTTGATACTGCGACTGTTTTCTACTCTCTTTCTATTTGGGACGGAAAAAATCAGGAAAACAGAGAAAGCCTCTTCATTTACGTCAGTGGTAAATGACTGAACAATCTTATGACGCTGAATGTCTTTAGTTGTGTATGTATGTGAGTGTGTGTTGAGTGGAAGTGTGTGACTGCTGACCTCTGACCTTTGTCCTTTATTGTGAGAGAACCTGTTATCAACTTTATTGATCTTGTGGGATCTTCCTGATGATAGTGAATAAAGAAAAAAATCATGAAACCTTTACATGTTGTCTGCTTTCTATTTGATGCGCATTTTATTGCATGGATGGGTTTAAAGACAAAAAGGTTCTTGAAATGTAAATAAATTTTAAACAATTTACAACGATCTTGTGTAGTAATAGTTAGAGCTGATTATTTTTGTTTAAACATTTTGTCACTCTACAATAAAAATTAACAAATCCAGTCACAGCATGTGAACATTTTCTCTTATTCAAATGTTCCCTAAACTGCGGTTGAGCTAATAATAAAAATAACATTACATCACCTACTAATAACAAGATTAAATCTTTATTTGTTTCCCTGCGATAAAGGAGAACCATGAACATGCTAATTTAAGAAATTATTGAAATAACTTCTCTGAGTACTAAATTAAAGGGGTTCCGAATGACAACAACAAAAATTGGGAATTAGAATGTAATTTTAACCTAAAATCTAGTTTGTTAAATTAGATCATGGTAACACCCAGTATAAGGTTGTACAAAGAACACCAAAGCAATTTGTGTATAATGTGAATTTGAAATAGATATTCTCTGTTTTGCTCTATCACATTTACTATTAAATGTCTTGGTCAAAAATATGAAAATAATACTCACAACATTTGTCAAATCCTGTGGCAAGTTTATCTTCAGAAGTGCTCATTGTAGTTGTCCAGGAATTTTGGTTCAAATTGCACGTCGTTTCTTGTGTTTATTTCTTTAAACCTGTCAATCTGATACATTTACCGTTATAAAAGCGCGCGCAATTTTAGCGTTTAAAAAATTACCTCAGGCGGTCAGTAAACAATCTGTCGACTGGACTAAACGGTAAGTTTATCCCTTCTAAATGTGAAAATGATATATTCTTAACCGTTTATCGAAGGCTAAATTAACAACATCTGATATTCATTCTGTCCTCGTTCGTTTTTTCCGGGCACAGTTTGTTAGATCAATCTTTGCATTCTGTTAATTAAGGGAGCTGCTTCTCATTAGAAAGCACGAGGCATCGCAAGATGGCGCCGTTGAACGGGTTTTAACCGGGTTTAACATGAAGTAAACCGAGCGATTTATTCATCACATCATAACTGCTGATGGGAGTATTGTGATGAACTTAGAATCATTGAAAAGTTAAACTTATGCTGTGTTGTGGATCATACTCGTGTATCAGGTTGTTGATTATCATATAGGCTGTTCATCATTTTGAGTCCAAAGCAGGTTCATGTGACTCGGTGTAATCCATCCTGGGATTAATGAATTTGATCTGGATTAAAGTTTGCATCTGGATTGCAGCAGATTCTCGTCCAATACGAAAATATGTTCACCCATAATAAAAATAAAAAGGGTAATAACAACGAGCTTCCAATAGGATCATCGCTGCACAAGCCCTAATGAAAACAAAAGCCTATATTTGCAAATGTATTTATTAAGAATACAGTGGTGTTGAGATTTAGCAAACGGGTAGAAACATGATAAATGTGATCTAGCCAATGGAGCGTGTTACACTATTACTGTGTTTACAAAAATGTTCTGATGACGGATGTGTTTGATTCTTATTGATTCTTGACTACTGACGTTACGTTTTTGCCTTTTCACCCTAGTCAAATATCACTTAACAACACACAAAGTAAAATGACAATGTTTCGCTCTCCTCCGTAATGAGATATTTCATATACAACAGACATAGAGACAAAACAAACTAAACGCAACACATTTTCATAGACAGTTTTGGTGTCAAAAGCTCCAAAGAAGTTTGAATCTGAAATGTGAACGAGTGTTGATTTTAAAGCCATGCATCAGCAGAAGACCATTCGCTGGACTCTCCGCTCTAAGAACCAATTTTAACATTCATTAGATAAAGGCATAGTTCACCCAAAAATGAAAATTGGCCCATGATTTTCACCCTCACCCTCAAGTCATCCTAGGTGTATATGACATTCTTATTTCAGACGAATACAATCGGAGTTGAGACGAATACAAAAAAAAATGTCCTGGCTCTTCCAAGCTTTATAATGGCAGTTAAGGGCTCTTTCTATTTTGAAGTCCATAAAAGTGCATCTATCCATCATAAAAGTGCTCCACAGGCTCTGGGGTGTTAATAAAGGCCTTTTGAAGTGAAGCCAAGAAAAATATTAATATTTAAAACTATAACGTAAAATAACTAGCTTCCAGACAAATTAATATACGGATTTGACTTAAGTCTAAGCAAAACTTATGCGATTAATGCGACTGCTGATATTTACACTATGCCATGATCCGCTATGCTACTTCTGATGTCATTAGTTGTGCTTAAGGCGCAAGTAGACTGAGTATGGCCGGAAGCTAGAATTTTACTTTGTAATGTGTTAAATATGGATAGTTTTCTCACACAAACGCATCACTTTACTTCAGAAGGCCTTTATTAACCCCCCGGGGCCTGTGGAGCACTTTATGATGGACAGATGCACTTTTATGATGGATAGATGCACTTTTATGATGAATAGATGCACTTTTATGGACTTCTAAACAGAAACAGCCATTCACTGCCATTATAAAGCTTGGAAGAGCCAGGATATTTTTTTAATATAACTCTGATTGTATTCGTCTGAAAGAAGAATCTCATATACACCTAGGATGACTTGAGGGAGAGTAAATCATCGGCTATTTTAAATTTTTGGGTGAACTATCCCTTTAAAGCAAAAATGAGCTCAGTGGTCTAAAACAGGAAAGAAACTCATTCAGAAGGAAAAGACCGGGAATGTAGAGCCATGTAGACCATGGTGTATCTCCTTACTGAATCTTTCTCATACATCCTTCAAGCTCTGGTACGATGGGAGGGATGCGTCACAGTTAGAATTTAAGTTCGGTGTATTTTGTTCGTCTCTTTCAGCTGGGGAGCAGACAGAGCTCAAGCCAATCCCAGTGTTTCCACAGTGTGACCAGGAAGAGCGCCAGGGCGAGGGTTGCGCCGACCCGAGCGCGCGTCTTCATGAGGGGCGTGATGAAGTTGGCCATGGTGGAGACGAACACCAGCAGCACCGCCATCAGGGCCAGGATGACGTTGATGAGTTTTCCCAGCAGGGCTCGAGCGTTTGCGTTCTCCACGCCCTCCAGCTGAACCACCTGCTGCTGTTGCTGCTGCAGCTCCAGTTTGGTAATGCGGGTGAGACACGACTCTACGGCCTCCTACACACAAACACATGTACAGAACTTTGTTTAGTGTACAAGTTACAAAGTCCCTTTGTGATTACAGCTCTTTAGGTCATTAGGGCTAATTACAGGTAATTAGGGCTGCCAAAATAGTTTTCTTCTGGGAATGGACATGTCACAATATTCCTCATTTAAATAATTAATATGCAGAATAAAGGGGCGGGGCCTGGTTGAGTTAGCAAGTAGTGTGTTAAACTGGCGGTTGTGGTAAGGGGCGGGACATCTCCCAAAAGTGCTCGAAGCACTCGACCAATCACGACACACTGCTCCACCCGACCAATCAGAGCACAGTGTGTTTTTCAGAAGGAGGGTCTTCATAGAGATAGGAAGTAAACAGAGCGTTACTGACAGACTGGGAAGAGAGGAGCCGCAACAATGGAGAATATGAGGAGAATAATCAACATTCAAGCAGAGAAACCTGTTCTAGTAGAGCCTGAAACAAAATGAAGCCTCGATCATTCTTTGTTATCGTTGCTCACCTGGATGTCTCGCGCTCTCTCGTACGACTGATACGCCACCTTCTCCTCCATGCTGGCCAGCTCCTGCTTCAGATTGCTCATTTCATTCTGGTGAAGTTCCGTCAGGTCATTCAGTTGCTCTTCCAGACGCTCATATCTGGAGGAAAAAGAGAGGAGACGCACACCTGAACATTCAGCTCTGGAAAAATAGTGAGGTTTGATTCTTGAATAAAGCGTTTTTAACCAGTCGAGCCGGTTCACTGAGTCAAACTGAATCAAACTTTAGTTCTGGATTGATGATGTGCAGCACCAAATGAGCTTATAACCAAATGAGCCTATAACCAACTGAGCCAATAACCAAATATGCCTATAACCAAATGAGCAAATGAGCCAATAACCAAATGAGCCTATAACCAAATGAGCCAATAACCAAAAGAGCCTATAACCAAATGAGCCTATAACCAAATGAGCCTATAACCAAATGAGCCAATAACCAAATGAGCCTATAACCAAATGAGCCAATAACCAAAAGAGCCTATAACCAAATGAGCCTATAACCAAATGAGCCAATGACCAAATGAGCCAATAACCAAATGAGCCAATGACCAAATGAGCCAATGACCAAATGAGCCAATAACCAAAAGAGCATATAACCAAATGAGCAAATAACCAAATGAGCCAATAACCAAATGAGCCAATAACCAAATGAGCCTATAACCAAATGAGCCAATGACCAAATGAGCCAATGACCAAATGAGCCAATGACCAAATGAGCCAATGACCAAATGAGCCAATGACCAAATGAGCCAATAACCAAAAGAGCATATAACCAAATGAGCAAATAACCAACTGAGCCTATAACCAAATGAGCCAATAGCCAAGTGAGCCAATAACCAAATGAGCTAATAATAACCAAAAGAGCCAATAACCAAAAGAGCATATAACCAAATGAGCAAATAACCAAATGAGCCAATAACCAAATGAGCCTATAACGAAATGAGCTTATTACCAAATGAGCCAATAACCAAATAAACCTATAACCAAATGAGCCAATAACCAACTGAGCCAATAACCAAATGAGCCAATAACCAAATGAGCCTATAACCAAATGAGCCTATAGCCAAGTGAGCCAATAACCAAATGAGCTAATAACCAAATAAGCTAATAATAACCAAATGAGCCAATAACCAAATGAGCCAATAACCAAATGAGCCTATAACCAAATGAGCTTATTACCAAATGAGCCAATAACCAAATAAACCTATAACCAAATGAGCCAATTACCAACTGAGCCAATAACCAAATGAACCAATAACCAAATGAGCCTATAACCAAATGAGCCTATAGCCAAGTGAGCCAATAACCAAATGAGCTAATAACCAAATAAGCTAATAATAACCAAATGAGCCAATAACCAAATGAGCCAATAGCCAAGTGAGCCAATAACCAAATGAGCCAATAACCAAATGAGCCTATAACCAAATGAGCCAATAACCAAATGAGCCTATAACCAAGTGAGCCAATAACCAAATGAGCCAATAACCAAATGAGCCTATAACCAAATGAGCCTATAGCCAAGTGAGCCAATAACCAAAAGAGCCAATAACCAAATGAGCCTATAACCAAATGAGCCTATAACCAAATGAGCTAATAACCAAATAAGCTAATAATAACCAAATGAGCCAATAACCAAATGAGTTATTGAACCAAAGAAATCGGTTCAAAATGAATGAATCACAAAGAACCAATTCAAAAATGAACCATTTCTAATTGTCAAAGTTATTTTTTGAGTTGGACATGAATGGTTTGGTTCTTTGGCTCAATTATCCATCTCTAGATTGGTTCAATCGGTGTATCCTCCTTTTGATTCTAAACTGAACTCAAGTGCCACTGAGGATTGAGTAAGACACAAACATAAATTACTCTGAAATGTTAATTGGGAAGGTGAGAGATGAGACCATGTTGATGACCTGAGTCTGTGGTGGAGTTGTGTGTTTTGATGTGAAACTCGAGGTCGGGGACCAAATCTGTTCTGTGGGGTGCAGACTGGGTCGATTCCTTTCCTAGAGCTCCTCCTGTCCGATTTTAGGGGAAATCAGATCTATTGGAGACGTTGAATAGATTATTTAGGCCGAAAGAACACCACAGACTCAGTGTTATCAACATCTGTGAAAAATATGATACACCGGTGTTTTGCCAGATGAAAACTACTTTTTGTCTTTATATCTCTTTTAATGCCTTTTAGAACTGTTTCTTAATTTTCCCCGCTTTTATTTTGTGATTATTTGAATTCCTTTAAAGGGTTAGTTCACCCAAAAATTAAGTCATTAATTACTCACCCCCATGCTGTACCAACCCCGTAAGACCTTCGTTCGTCTTCGGAACACAAATGAAGATATTTTTGATTAAATTTGAGAGCTGTATAACTACCACATTGGCTCCTAAGGGACTGCCTCTTGACGGCCCAAAAAGTCAATGAAGAAAATGTTTAAATATCCCAAGTGACTACCGTGGCTCAACTATATGTTTATCAAGCGACGCGAATACTTTTTGTGCGAAAAAACAAACAAAAATAACGAGTTTATTCGACTATTTCTTTTCTTCCTTGTAGGCCAGAACGAGACTTCCTTAGATTTCCACGACGCATGCGCGAGAATTGCGATCTGAAGTGGTGTAAGCAGATCGCAATTCTCGCGCATGCGTCGTGGAAATCTAAGGAAGTCTCGTATTGGTTCATTCGGTGCTTTGCAAGGGACATGCCTTGTGCGTTTTTAACCTGGAACTAAAGTTTCATTCAATAAACCAGGAAAAAGCGGCCAACATTATTTTAAATATATCTGGTCAGTGACAGTTTAAGCATATTGGTCTAAAATAATTCTGTAATTTCAGTTTCAGAATCATTAATATTGTTATTCTGGTGTCTCTATTGTCCTGTACGTTGGCTTTCCAGCATCAAGTCCAAGACTATTCATTTACACACACAATGAAATACCAAATTTAGCGTTTTAATCAACAATACATTTTTTGTTAACCTTTTCCCATATGTCTTGGAGTATCTCAATAATATGGTATTGTGAGTACAGTATCGTGTTGGATCATGACATGAGGCTATCGCTACACCGCTAGTTAACCGGCTAAAAGGAACGATTCCTAGATGATTCAGTTTTACCTGTATCGCTCCTCTTGCAAACACTGCGTCATGTAGCCGTAGTCGCTTTGCAGCTGCGCTTTCATGTCCTCGATGGCGTCCTCCATGTGCACCTGGCCGACTTTGATCTCCTGCAGGCCTTCCAGCAGCGCATCCCACGAGGAAGACGACGAGTGGTGGTGGTGATGGTGGTGGTGATGCCCGTCGAGCCGAGGGCTCCCCATGGTGGCTCCCATCCCAGACATCGGCCCACCGGCCCCACCAGAGTTACTCCCGGCCGGGGACCCGGACGTTGCACTCGAGCACTCGTCGTCGCTGCCGTATTTGGGGCTGGAGACTAGCGTAGCGCTTCCGCTCAGAGCTCGCGGTGTCTCTTCCGGGTGCCCGTCCTCCAGACTGTCCTTCATGTGGGCAATGTTATCAGCGCTCCCGAACTTGTTGCGGATGAGGCTGGCGAACTCTCGTGGTTTCGAGACGACTGCGGTGTGCGTGAGCGCCGAGACTCCGCCCTTCATTCCTTCGACCATGCCTCCTCCGAACCCGCTGATTCCCGCGCGCATGTTCGCGCCCACGTCCTTCAGCCCCTGATGCATGTCCCGGAAGACGTCTTTGGGATGCCGCGCCGGACCATTCTGCAAAAAAGCAGAAGTGATTACTCTGGAAAATTTGCATGGAAGAGAACTTTTATTATTTTATGCGCAGCTTGTCAGTGAAGGACGGCTCTGTGATGGGTAATAAATGCTGTTCGTTCTGAACACCAGAGGGCGTCTCACACATAAGTACGATAACACACGTCATTCCAGGAAATCCTCCCCTGTGAATAAGCTCCTCTGTGAGGGCCTACTTCCCCCTGCAGTTCGCATGGATATTATAAATATATTCAAATGCGCATACCTATAGCCTAAACACATAGTATGCATGTGCGCGCCGTTACCATTTTCACAGATTCACTTTTTTTAAGTTTACATGTTTTTTTTTTATAAACTTGTGCCTTGCATCCCATTCCAAAGTTTACGTTCAGGAGCCTCCAAACACTGTTGTAGTGCAAATGAACATCCAGAATGCATTAAAAGTTTTCTGTTTTCAGTTAAAACCGGGACGTGTTAGTGGCCCCTAAGTTAACACATTTTTACTAAGCTAATTAAAACTTTAGCTGGATAATAACTTTATTCTGATCTGCTGTAAAGCCGAAACAATCTCTGTTATTTTAATTTCCTGTCATCACTGTAATGATGCTTTGAAACAATATATATTGTTAAAAGCGCTGTATAGATGACAGCGAATTGAAATGAACACAATATTGAAATACTTTGATGTGTTAAATTTTGTCTTTTGTTGGACGAGGGATTCATAAATGCTTCTCATTTTGGGAAGATATTTGAGGCGTGTTGCTTTTTCATTTTGCACGTTATAAGCGACTCTCGCAGTGCTTTCAGAGTGAGCCGGGTTTACTGAGCCGTGCTTCACTGACAAGCTGCACATAACTAATAATCGTAGCCTGTTAACTGCGATTAATCGCTCATTTTACCTGTTCGATCTCTTTGAGTTTCTTATGGTAGTGCTCGAGTTTCTTGTGCAGGTGTGCGATGGTCTGCGCAGACTTCTGGTTCTTCTTTTCAAACACTTGTTTGATGCGCGACGCCTGCAGTTTGTCCGCGTTGTGGGCGAGTTTGAGATATTCGGCTACGTTAGCGTCGCGCGCCTCCTGTTCCACGCGGATCTGCTCGGTGATCTTCAGGATCTTCTGCTGCAAATGTTCCAGCGCCGCGCGCGTTCTCTGGACCTCGCCGTCCAGTCCCGCCTCCACGCTGATGTTCCCGTCGGACCCGCCATGGCTCGCGGACGGCGGCAGCCCGAGAGTCGACACCTCGCTCTTATCCAGCTGCATGCACACAATCAGGGTTTGACATTAGAAAGCCATCACTAGCCAATTTGGAGTCTTAAAAATTGGGCTTTACTCATTATGTTCAGGGTATGAAATTAACATACGCCAACCCACTACTGCAGATAAAACTCACTAGATCAAATCACTAGCCAATTTGGCACTTTTCTTACTTAGTATTTTTGTCTTGTTTCCAGTCCAAATATCAAAAAAACTCTTAAATCAAGAAGCATTTACTAGATGAGTCTTAAGTTCTGGGCAGTTAGGGTTAGGGTTCTTGCTTTAAACTGTCACTGTCCCGGTACCGGGACGCCTAACTTTACTTCACTATATTTCTATTAAATCCTAATCTAATTATGACAAATTATATATCGTTGGAAAGGTCTAAAACTTCTAAATAGATATTCTACCCCTGTTTTGTGTTACAAATTATGTAGGAAGAGTAATTGATGAATTTATGACAAGAGTGCACCTAAAAAATCTGCATCATAACAGGAGTTTTGACCTGTGTCACAAAAAGTCGATGCACCCACTTTTAATCATTGAAACTTCTGTTTTTATGCTAAAAGTTCGTAATAAAACATATAATCTAGTATTTTTCAATAAAAAAATGATAGTATAATATTATCCTCTAAAAATTATAATATTTATTATCCTCTAAAATATAATATTATTTTTTATCGCCTTTTTTATTATATCACATATTTTAGTAGTTATCATAAATTAGGTATCATTAGAAAGCTTATAAACTCAGAATTCATCGTGTGAAAACCGTTTTTTTTTTATAATTGAACGTTGCGTTACCATAGAAACGGTACTTATTTTATCAGGCTCCTCCCCTTTTGGGCATCATTATATTTCATAATTTATGATCAAAACCTTTTCTAATCTTGACAAAACTGATATTGTCAGAAAGGTCAGAGTCTCCAGGTTCCAAATTTTGTGACAGAATTAATATTTGGACAGAAATGTATTAATTTGTTAAGGCAGAATGTATACAACTAAATTCTATGGAATTCAATGGCACCCGGTGGCTATTTTTAGTACTACGCCTAAACAAAATCTCCTGGGAAGTTCAATTTTTGTGATATCGACTTCAAATTTGGAACATAACTTGATAAGACTTATGGCTTTGATTTTATAGAAATTTTAGAGAAAAAATATTTTGTAAAATATATATTTTATTAAAAAATTAAAAATATATAGTACAGTATATTTGATTTACTGTAAATTTAAACTTCCATAACTTTTTCATACTTTCATTTTTTGAAGTGTTTTCACTTCAGCAATGTTCTGCTGAGTGTTTTCTTTAAAACAAGACCAAACTTGGGTATATTCCAAAGCATTCTTAAATTACAACCATTTAAGTCTGAATAGTGCATTTTAACCCCCATTCTCAAAAAGGGGGGTTACAGCTAAGGGGTTAAAAAAAGCAATGTTATTAATTAATAGGAGATTCTGGATAGCAGGATTTTGTTTGAATAAGAAATGAAATGTATGAAATCTAAATTGTATAATATAATCTGTGACGCAGTTAATCTGGTTCATTTCTTAGTGTTTTTTCTCATTTTGTGGCTAGTTGAAGTTCTGAATGGCCGATAACTTAAAAATTTAGTAGCCAAATTGCCCGGTGAGTGAAAAAGTTAATTTCCAACCATGCGCACAATGAAAACACAACGGAGCTGAATCAAACATCAAACATCTGATATGAAACCACACACACTAATTTTAACACCTCGGTCATATGAGCGAGTCTGTTGACGAGAGAGACACCGTGACCCACTTTCTGCTCGGAAATCTTTCCATACACACAGTAAACTAAGAGAAGAACACAGTAAACGCAGATTCACACCCACTGCAACGACCTGAAGCAGCAGCGCATGATGCCAACGACACCACTGAGAAATCAAGTGCTCAGAAATTAATCATTCATAAATGCAGCGTCGCAATAAGCGCTAGAAAGTCGCAGCAAATCATCGTAAACAAATGAGCGTGCGTGAAAAGATGCGAGGGGCGCGGTGTGACACAACCAGCCAGGGAAACACACTGCTCTCTGCATGCGTGTGAAGATGCATTAACCTTTACACGTGTGTGTGTGTGTGTGTTACTTCATGCATGTTACCTGCACTAAACAGCATGCTAGACTGCATTTCTCTGAGAAACACACACACACACGGCTAAAGGTCAGCGTAGTCCATGCATCTTTGAATGCATGTGAATCTGAGGCATGTTACCCGTCAAGAGCATGTGCGTGTGTGATCTACAGGCCGCATTTAGAGTGGAGGTGCACACACACACACACACACACACACGCATGCATGACACCTGCTGTACAGTTAAGGACATGTGTCAGGCGGGTTAGACGCAGAAAAGCGTGTGAGAGAGGCGAGCGGGTGATGATGGATGGATGATGGACGGATGATAGATGGACGGGTGATGGATAACAACACAGGAACACAAGATTAATTTGCAATAAATTACCATGATCTTCAGTGCAGGAGGTGCAGCTTCACTGCAGAGACGTGTAAGAGGGCCATGTCTCTTTCTCTCTCTCTCTCTCTGTCTGTGTGTGTTCACCCCTCCCCCTTTCCTCTCCTCTATCTGTCTATCTCTCAGTCGAGTCTGCCATGGTTTACATTAGAGTCGATATCGGCTTCTCTCATCTTTGTCTGGCCCGTTTCTGGCGTTTCTTTCTGGTCTCTCCGGCCGTGTGTGTTTGTCTGTGTGTTTCGACGCGCAGATGAGCTGAGGGGGAGGGGAGATCAGCGGAGCATGCGTCACACACACACACACTGCAGCTAAATCTATGCGTGTGCGCATCATTGTGTCTGTTCATGAGGGCATGATTGGGGTGTGTTTCAGAGCGAGAATCACAAGGAATGTATATAATGTGTGAGTGTTTGTGTGCGTGTGTGACATTTCCCAAACTGACAGGAGGGGCTGATGGGAAACACTGACGTCCGCCGTCTCATAGCAACACCCTTCACAACATCTGGGTCACTATGTTGAAGAGCAGCACCTGCAACACACAAACATGAGATACACACACACTACACACTTGCGACGTCGCTTTTCTTATTCAAATTCTTTTTAAGGATAATTAACACTGTTGACATCTGTGGCATTCAGGAGATTGCGATGGAGAAGAGTGTCGATTTTTTTACAGAAATATATTCGCCATGTCTATTATACGCAACTAACACACAGATCTATCTTAAAATACACAACAAACTCACAGATCTATTAAATACACAACTTACACACGGATCTATCTTAAAATACGCAACCAACACACGGATCTATAAAATACACAACTTACACACGGATCTATCTTAAAATACGCAACAAACACACGGATCTATCTTAAAATACACAACAAACACACGGATCTATCTTAAAATACACAACAAACACACGGATCTATCTTAAAATACACAACAAACTCACAGATCTATTAAATACACAACTTACACACGGATCTATCTTAAAATACGCAACAAACACACGGATCTATCTTAAAATACACAACAAACACACGGATCTATCTTAAAATACGCAACTAACACACGGATCTATAAAATACACAACTTACAAACGGATCTATCTTAAAATACACAACAAACACACGTACTTATCTTAAAATACGCAACAAACACACGGATCTATCTTAAAATACACAACAAACTCACAATACACAACTTGCACACGGATCTATCTTAAAATACGCAACTTACAAACTGTTCTATCTTAAAATACGCAACAAACACACGGATCCATCTTAAAATACGCAACTAACACACGGATCTATAAAATACACAACTTACAAACGGATCTATCTTAAAATACGCAACTAACACACGTACTTATCTTAAAATATGCAACAAACACACGGATCTATCTTAAAATACACAACAAACTCACAATACACAACTTACACACGGATCTATCTTAAAATACGCAACTTACAAACTGTTCTATCTTAAAATACGCAACTAACACACGGATCTATAAAATACACAACTTACAAACGGATCTATCTTAAAATACGCAACTAACACACGGATCTATAAAATACGCAACTTACAAACTGATCTATCTTAAAATACGCAACTAACACACGGATCTATAAAATACACAACTTACAAACGGATCTATCTTAAAATACGCAACAAACACACGGATCTATCTTAAAATACACAACAAACTCACAATACACAACTTACACACGGATCTATAAAATACGCAACTTACAAACTGATCTATCTTAAAATACGCAACTAACACACGGATCTATAAAATACGCAACTAACACACGTACTTATCTTAAAATATGCAACAAACACACGTACTTATCTTAAAATATGCAACAAACACACGGATCTATCTTAAAATACACAACAAACTCACAATACACAACTTACACACGGATCTATCTTAAAATACGCAACTTACAAACTGTTCTATCTTAAAATACGCAACTAACACACGGATCTATAAAATACACAACTTACAAACGGATCTATCTTAAAATACGCAACTAACACACGGATCTATAAAATACGCAACTTACAAACTGATCTATCTTAAAATACGCAACTAACACACGGATCTATAAAATACACAACTTACAAACGGATCTATCTTAAAATACGCAACAAACACACGGATCTATCTTAAAATACACAACAAACTCACAATACACAACTTACACACGGATCTATAAAATACGCAACTTACAAACTGATCTATCTTAAAATACGCAACTAACACACGGATCTATAAAATACGCAACTAACACACGGATCTATCTTAAAATACGCAACTAACACACGGATCTATAAAATACGCAACTTACAAACTGATCTATCTTAAAATACGCAACAAACACACGTACTTATCTTAAAATACACAACAAACTCACAATACACAACTTACACACGGATCTATCTTAAAATACGCAACTAACACACGGATCTATAAAATACACAACTTACAAACGGATCTATCTTAAAATACGCAACTAACACACGTATCTATTTTAAAATACGCAACAAACACACGTACTTATCTTAAAATACACAACAAACTCACAATACACAACTTACACACGGATCTATCGTAAAATACGCAACTAACACACGGATCTATAAAATACACAACTTACAAACGGATCTATCTTAAAATACGCAACTAACAGACGTATCCATCTTAAAATACGCAACTAACACAAGGTTTTAAAAGTATGGATTTAAAAGTTTCCACCAGGGGATTAAAATAATTCTTACAATTTCGTCTTTTTTCTCGCAATTGCGAGTGTATTACTCACAGTTTCGGGGGAAAATGTCAGAAATGTCATGAAAATTACCTTTTTTATTTTATTATGTTGTGAAAGCAAGCTTATACTGTAGTTAGCATGAAATTTCAATATTTCTTAAATGAAATGCAGAAATATGCATTTCTGCAAATTTAATTTAATGTTCTACGTTATTCTAACAAAATACATACATTTCAGAATACTCATAACTTGCTCCGTCTCCTTTTCGCATTTGGTTAATTTGAACTAATAGTCAAATATCTACTGTATGTTGGCATTTTTAGGTTGCTTTTTAAAGTCTAGCTAATAATTAACACAATTTAATGGTAGTTAACGGTAATATAATTAAATTTCGTTTTGCAACACATTTGGATATACACCACATGATGGAAGTTCAATGCTATTTCATGTCTACTTCTCAAACGTAACTTGTTAACATGATACTGATATGATGGATTCACTCACCAATTAACAGCAAGGGCCGGTTTACACGAGCAGCACCAGAAGTTCATCCACCTAGGAAAATGGTTGACCTCAAAAACACATTTACAATCAACAGCATGAATATTTTAAATATAGTGATTTATTCGTACAAATCAGATCATACACCAGAGTTTCTCTTCATAAAGTTTTATTTATAGAACAATTACATGTCAATCTACAATACAACATTTATCAGTAAAATAAATATGGCATATATCCAGAGGTCTTTAACAAAAATGCTACACAAAAAAAACAAGTGCAATTCGGAATCAACAGCGAATAATCCTGATATTAACAGAATATTTACAGACGAGTCGCGGAAATACAGGAGAGCTAGAACAGATTTAATGAACGTTGGCCGGAATTCAGAACTTAAACAAAATTAAGCTTTTTATCTTAATTACTCAATTTATAAAGTCTGACATTAACATTTCTCCTTAATTTTATTTAGTTATCGCTCGACGTTATTTCTATTTCCATGACAACCGGAAAACTGATAGTGTTTGTAAATATACTGTAGTTTCAGAAGCCGTTTCACAAAACATGAGCAGAACCAATCGTTATTGATTTAGTTTAAGTAATATTCTGAATAATATACTTTCTTGTTAATTACAGTAAAAAATTTATTCGTTGTGCTTGTATATTTTTTTTAGCACTTAAACTTTCTTTTTTTTTTTTGGCGAAAAGCAACATTTCTAATGTTAATGTTTTAAGTTAAAACAGTTTAAATTTAGTTTGTTTTCCAACTAAAATGTATGTTTTATTTTAACCATTTCAATTAACAGAAATATTTTTAACAGTTTTAGTTGAAGTTAACAATAATAACCTGTCTGTAAATGTCTGTATAACATTTGTATGTTAATTTCCGCACTAAATTTAACGCGACATGATGTACGAATTAACGTATGAAAAAAACTACAGCGATTCTGCTCTTGTTTCGCGAAGAATATGTGTAAGAACATACTGGCAGCTTAATTGAGGTTTATGTTAATAATAACAATAACATTTGTGTGTCAAAAAAAAAAAATTGGCACCAAACCTTTAAAAATATCAGTTTTTAAAGTTAGCAACATATTTTGTGCAATAAAGCAATACATTTGAATATGTGCACACTGACAAAAATCAGTGTTCATAATGAAACCCTTTTCGCAATTTCGTGATTCTGAAAGATTCATTCATGGATGATTCGAATCTTTCCTCCACACATCGAATTTAAAGGGATTTTTCAGGTAAAAATGCATTTCAATATGTTGAAATGCAAACATATAAACAGGAAGTGCTCAAAGACCGATTCCCGTTCCTGAATAACACATGATGAAGACAAAACGAAGATTTGTGGAACAGCTATGAACTCCACTATGAAGGTAGATTACGGTGTAGGAAAACAGAAGATCCACTGAGTTCACGTCAGTTACTGAATGTCTTTACACGTGAGGAGAGTCCAGGCATGACAAACACACACACACACAGGTCCTGAGTGTGTTATTGTCCTGATTTGCGGGGCGTGGCCACTTGCCTCTTCTTTGCCTGGTAGAAGTCTGTTCAGATAAAAGAAAGCATCTATTATTAGTAGTCAGACTGTCATTCACACCATCATTATTACTCAGCATTTTAATTCAACAGTTTATATACACTGGCAGCCATTCAAAAATTTTGGCTCTGTATGTTTTTTTACTATTATTCAACATTGATAATAATAATTTAATCAGATCCACATTTTAGAGGAACATGACACTGAAGACTGGAGTAAAAGTAATGATGTAAATGTAAAAGTAATATTTGATCACAGGAAGAAATTACACTATTATATTCACATAGAAAACCGCTATTGTAAATTATAATTCCACAATATTACTGTTTTTTTTTTTTTCTAAATGATCTAATAAATGCAGCCTTGCGTTTTTCTTTTTAAAACATTCAAAATCTTCCCGATCCAAACGTTATATCTCTCACCTGTGATGTTCGTCTGTTTCCTCTTCATCTCGGCTCTCTTTTCCGGCGTTTTCTCCACGCCCTGCGGAACCGAACCGAATCTGTTCTCTTTTCCCGGTGATCCTGCGGGATTCCGTGCGTCCTCACAGCTCCGGTACAGCACAGGAACGCGCACGCCGGACACGCCCACCCAGCTGAAGTCTCCGCCCTCCAAAGGCTTCTCCGCGACGAAGTCGAAGCTCCAGCGACGCGACGCGTCCTCCAGGTCTTTCCTCAGCGCGTCGCGATACTCGCGCTGGAGCTGCTCGCGATCCACCGGACCGAACAGGCTTCTTCTCGTCTGCCCGTTTCCGAGGGCTCGAAGGATCCGCTTGTGTGCCATTTTCTGAAGCAAAAGACACGAGAGTAACGGTTACTACGAGTTGAACGACACCACAATGTCGTAAATACGAGTGGGAAGCTCGGGATTTCTTTAAGCCCCCACTCCACGACAATTTACGAGTTGTCGATAACACAAAATAAAGTTATTATGTTGTCAGGCTTCTTTATCACAGCAAAGCTAACGCCTGCACAGAATATGATGGCATTATAATTGACCAATGTAATGCAACGATAAAGTATGCAGCCAGTGGCTTCATAAATTAATTAAAAACATAAAAAACAGAGAACATCATTTTGCACATATTCATTTTCTAGAAGTAGAGTTTAAAAACCTTGCTGTATTGAACCCACAACCCAACCCGTGTATTTGATTTATCCTGCAAGCCTTGTAGTGTCTGGCTCGTCTCCTCAGGTTTGAGTATTTCTGCTGTTCTGAGATCAGCTTTTAAAAGCTGCTTTGAGTCATTAGTTGCAGAGACATGTGTGGACATGTTCCTCTGATTGCAGTGAGCGCGTCTGACCAGCAGAGGCCAATATTCACACAAAAATAAATACTGCCACTAAAATAATACTGCCAATTTAAGAAATACAGAATAATGATTTTGAGATTCTTACAATTGACAAACCAACGTTTCAGACTAAAGTGTCTCTCATATTCAATAAATCAATCATTTAATTTTTTTAATTTTTTTAGCGTTTTTAGCCCATCTTTTTCTGAGATTTATATTTATTATTTAACTCATTCATTGACTATTTCACTAAAATGATAATCGTGACAATATAATAAATATAAAATAGTCGAAATTATGACTTAAAAGTCGAAAATATTACTAGTCAAAAATTGACTTGCCATAATTGACAAAAAGTTAAAAAGTCAATTATAAGACAATTTTGTTTTGTTTTTTCAAAGATTTTAGCCCATCTTTTTTCCATGAGAATGTTTTAACATTTTTTATTTAAATAAATTATTATTATTATTATTTAACTCAATATTTAAATATTATTAACTAAAATAGGCTTAATACTTGTGATAATATAATAATTATAAAATAATATTTTTGAACACGTTTAATATGACAGTGATGACAAACCAGCCCAAAGTTCATGTCTAAGTGTCAGAATCTGACGTTCTTATTACATTTAATAAATCTATAAACATTGTGATGTATAATACATTGTCAAATATTTCAGTCCATGTACTTAAGTATTTTTTTAATATCATATATATTTTTTAGAAAATATATGATCCATCATTCATGGTGTCATTACAACACGTGACATTGAGTCCATTCTGGTGTATGTGATGGAACGTAAAGTTCATTCATTACGAAAATACATTCAAGACGGCGGCGGGAAGGCGAGCTTTTGTTTGATTGGTCAAAAGTTACGAAAACACGCCCACTCTGCGCTGGCTCCACGTGAACACAAGTCTCGTGTAAGCCGGTGGAAAGAAAACAGGTCGCGCGATTGTGATAAGAGTTCACTTTACAATAACATACAAACAGCGATAAAAATCCATCAATCACGAGCCTGCTGATCTACACATTCAAGTTTAAGTGAAAAGTTTTCAGTTAAAGTTCGTCTGAGATTTATAAAGTTCATCTGAAGTTTATATTACTCGGCTTATCATTTGAAACAGCCAAGAGTTCAAACGTGTTGTATTAAAAGTTTGTATAACGTTCTTGTGATAAATGAGAACAACCTCAAACAAACATGAAAACGTTCATGTTGTTTGAACAATGTTGTTTGACATGAAAAACAAGCAACTTACATGTTTTGGCTCCTGACGAGTGTTCAAAATCTGTCAAATCGCAGTTTGCTGAGAGGACTGGAGAGGTTTCAGGAGTCCTGGACAGCAGTGTGGAGGTTAAGCTCAACTTTAGACGTGTCTTCTGCTGAAGTGTGGAGAAACTCAACCGTGGCGAGACTAGCAGTGGATACGAGATGTTCCTCTTCAGTGTTGGAGGGACTTTTTGAACTTCTACAGCTCTGATGGGCGTGTTTAATCTGTGGGCGGGGCTGAATGAGCACAGCACGTGGACTGTGCCCGACAAACACGAGAGCGGCGTGAGCGCGCCTTCACGTGAACATTCCAGTGGATCTGCGTCACAGAATACAAGGTCCCGAACTAAGTGGATCCGCCCAATATATATATATATTACACACACTATTTTTTTAAGCGTTTATTTACCTTTCTAGCATGAACAGTTACATGTCACAGACATGTTACACAAAAAAAGTACATGCACATAGCAAGCAGAAAAGAATAGTACTATTCTTCAACAGAAAAGAAATAATTGAAAACATTCTTACTGTTAAAACAATATTTTTTTTAAATATATTTTTTATTTTTATCATCGCTGCGGCTGAGCCAAACTTGCTTTTTAACCCAACAAAATTGTTTTGAAAATGTTTTTTAGCCTATAATCTTGATTTCTGTTTCATGTATAATTAATGTAATTAGGGACGGCAACCCCAGAGGTTTGCAAGCAGTTGCTAGGGGTTTTGTAAAATATTTAGAATTTTAAACATGTAGAATTGTACACTATGTTTAATTCTGCTTTCTAAAGACTGACAGAAAACCATGAGATTAATTATCAATATTTGATTCTATTGACACTCACAATGACGGTCAAAATTTGACATAAAAGTAGAATTTTTTTTTTTTTGTAATATTCGTAATATACAAAATAATAAAAACTTGTAATTCGGATTGACAAAAACACAAAATAAGACACAAAAATTAATACAAAAAAGTATGATTTCAAAAAATATGACTTTAAATTTGAATGTTAAAATAACCCTTTTGAAAGTGTGAAATATGCAGAATACTCACTGAGTATATTTGTTAAAATGTGATAAATTTGCATATTTCACACTTTCAAAAGTGTTATTTTAACTCCAAAATGGAGGGAGTCAAACATTTCAGGAGTGTTAAATTTCATTAAAATTGAGGATGTACACTAGCTTTTTTTGCTGTGTATGAGACTAGACATGAGACCAGTCATTATTTATAAAACTAATTGACAGTAAAATAATGAGAAAATTCCACAGATTACATGCAAAACAACAACTAAATAATCTTTCGTCACCTGTGAAACAGTAAATAGATTTTTATTTTTGTAAATAGGTTCTATGGGCACATTAATATGTTAATTAATTAAGGATGACACAATTGATTTTTTTTATTGTAAAGGGTATTTTTTGTTCCCCAAATGTATTTATTCCGTGTAAAACATAGTAATATTTAATCCAGGTTAAAATAATACAATAACTGCCCTAATTTAGTTCCAATAAACACAACAGCACGAAATAAAATCAGCCAGTCACTGTTCACTAATGAGACCGACCGAGTAAAGAAGTCCATTTTCCCCACGACAATCAGCAGGAAAAGCCATTCTTTAGTTTAATTAATGACCGCTCTTCATTAGTGTTGGCGCTTTGGCGGGAGTCAGACGAGACATGACGGTTATCCTTCCACAGCGCGAGGAGGCCGCGGGAAAAAAATCAGGAGTCACTCGACACGTGACTCATCGGAACGTGAGTAGAGGGAAAGGGCGGGTAAGTTTGAGTTTCTGTTCATTCGTCAAATACAGTGATTAACCTCTCCTCGCTCTGTGATATATTGTTAGTATGACTGAATCCAAACTTAAAATGCAGCCTTATGAGCTAGTATTAATTAGTAAAAAAGTGGAATATTTGTACTTTTAGAAATTAATTTGTCAAACCAAAAGAATACTGAGTTTAGTGCTAAAAGTGATTTACAACGGTGGGGAAAAGTAAACGCTTATTGGCCTGTAAACTAGCCAATGTCTGAGCAGAATGAGCGAATCTGTCAGCATTTGAACACTTCAAGGCTTTTGACAGCCGTCACATTGAAGTCGAGATTTTGTAAGAGGTTATGTAAGTTGTGATCAATCTTATGAAAGCTAGAATTATGACTGCCTTTGTTAAGTCTGAAGCGTGACGTCATGTTGCAGAAACGCGAATGAAGGATTTAATCCGGCCATTTGTTTTGTTTCACTTTGGATTATGTCTCATTGCATTGTTCTGTTTGAGGAATTAATAATAAAAAAAAAAAAATCCAGCCAGATTTATTATTATTTACTACTACACCCCATCAAAACACAACCTATCTGTTTGTTTTTTTTCATGCATTTTAATATTTTTATGTATAAAGACAATTAATACTGTGAAAAAGTAATATAATAAATGTGTAAAAAATTTAGGTTCTATTATATAACACCATAGCATTTTTCTACCCGCTGTACTATGTTATGTGTATTTTATTCATGTATTAAATTATTTTATTTAAATCATATTTCATGTTTAATTAATGGGATTAATTGGCATTTAATATTATTTTTATATGTTTTCACATTTTCCCCACTGCTTTTTGTATTTTAAATCATTAGTTTTACCTCACGCATTTAAAAAAAAATAGTATTTATTTTATAAATTTATTTTTTTCACTTTTACTAATAATTTATACATTTTTAAATACAAATATTTTCAACTTTTTCAATTTGTATTTTATTGTATTTACTAGCTTCATTTTTATAATCAAATGTATTCGTAAATTAGTTTAATCTGATTTATGCTGGTTTTTTTTGTGTAAAATATACTCTCTAGCTCTCTCTTGTGGCCAGATAAAATAACCCAGAATGCTGCTGTTGAACAGTTTTAATATTAACCCAGCTGTAGTGAAATGAGCTAATTCACGGAGGAACACAAAGAACAACGCTTTAAATACATCGTAGAGGCTCTAGTTTGATAATAAACATTCTTGGGATTTCAAAAAAGCAATCTTCTAAAAACTACAAACAATCCAGATAAGAGTCATTGTAGAGCTAAAGCTGATGGTCGCCCCCTGCTGGTACTAAAGCACACTGCACATATTCTCATACACGTCACATGACCAGTACCCATTTTAATTACATTTAAGCATCTCATTTTAATACATTTCTGCTTTTAATGTTGAGCCTTAATTTGATAAAATAGTAAAACTAAATTTCAATAAGGTTGTTCATTTGGAAAATATTCTACTACTATAGCATTAATCAATTTCTACATTTACAAAATAAAAATTTAAAAGCTCAAGTTGTATCTTTAAACAAATTAAATTGACAGTTATGTTTATATTATCTAACATTTGCAAAGATAATAAATGCTCTAAATGAAAGCTAATGCATTAACAAAGTAAATTAACACTTTACAAATAAACATTTGATTTAAAGTCCCCGTGGTGGTAAATCCAGTAGAGGTGTGCGATTATACTTTTTAATAATTAAGGTGGATGCCTCTTCAACCTAAATCTAAATGAATTTATGACTTAATTTGCTTTTGTGATTTGCATTTTGGGCAATTAATCAGTTAAAATCAGTACTACAAAAGCTTTTGTTCAGAAACAACTTTTGGTTACTTATGTTTCATTTAAATAAACAAAGTTACAAAATTATTACTTCACAAATATAAAAAAAAAAATGTAAAAACAAATTCTCTTTTCAAGTAGCATGTTAACAAAAAAGGTTTCTCCTCTTTAGTGCACATCCTTTCAGGATTTTTTTCTTAAATAAACAAAGTCACAAGTTCTCCACCTCTGACTGTGCTGCTGTAGACTAGAAATGCGCGGGTAGCGGTAAGTCACGTGACGGTACAACACAGGAGAGGGGGGCGAGAGCAGCACACTTGGGTGGAGGACTACAGAGAGCTTGCTCTGCACTGTGACAGCAGAAGTATTTTGACAAACTCGGTCAGGTCGCAAAATGAGAGAAACTGAAATTTAAGTATCGATATTAGTATCGATCTGTCCACCTCTAAAATCCAGCTTTTAATGTTGTTTGTGTCTGTGTTTTAAATATTCTTTAAGACACACCGTGTGTAAGTTGATAAGTGGACAGCATTGCTGAGTATTTCCTCAAAACTGCAGTGAACCAAAGACAGTCTCAAAAACATGCTTTGAAATCGCTGACGTCACAAACAAAACGCGCATGCTAAAGGCGAGGGTGTCGAGTTACATTCAAGATATTTTAAGACATGAATTATTCAGGAAAAGAAACATTTAAGTCTTTTTTTTTCCAAAAGTCAAAGGGATCAAATTGATTACAGGGGGACTTACCTTTAAATTATTAAATTTAATACTGTACAAATTCACAAAGAGACAGGATATTTTTTTGTAATGAGTTTTAATTCAAATCAACATTATAAACAGTACAAACACTACAAGGAAAAAAACAAATGAGAATGAAAGCTGTTCATTCCACCCCCTGCTGGCGACACAGTGTCGCTACATCTTCCCCCTCTGATCGCACACAAACACAAAGCAAAACGCTAGCGGTCGAGCTCAGGCGACAGGAAATGAGCTCATCGCAGCAGGACCAATCACATTCACCGGCAAAAACACAAATAAGTCTTAAAAGTGTGAGATGGAATGCCGTCGCATTAAAACTGCAGCTACAGAAGGAAACAGAACCGCTAAAATAATGTTCATAAAAAAAAAATAATAAATGGGGGACTCCGAGCAATACAGTCTTTTCAAAGTTTTTGATCGACGATTTCCCGTCACGACGCTTTTCTCTGTGTCGTGATTTATTTCCGGTCATTAGATCTGGAACGACTGTCAACGAAAAAAAATAAAATAAATGGTGATGTGAGCCGGACGTCAATCCTGGCCGGACGACATAAAGTAGTGAAACCCTTACCTCCTCGATCGTGAGAAAGATCGCGATGGCTTGTGGTTCCTGTCACGGGACAGCGATCTCTCCCTCCTGCGCTCTCTGGAAAGAGATCTAGACGAAGTCCAGAACCAGAGTTATTATAGTCAAATAAAACGGTAAAAATGTTCGTAACTTAAGGAAAAAAAAAAACGCGCTAGAACAGACGTATTTAAAAATTAATAAGTTGCCATAAAATGAAAAAAAAAAAAAAACGGATTAAAATGTTACTAAACTATAATAGCATCTCCACAAAACACGTTGATAAAGTGCTCGCGCAATAGCGCAAACTCACCTGCTACGACTGCGACTGAAGCTCCTCCTCCTGGGCGATCTGAAGAAGAGAAGAAAAGAGCGAGTAAACGCGGTGGCGATCGACACACGAAGGCACCTCAAAAGCCCTGAAACTCCAGCCTGCTAACAGTCACACACTCGTCACCGCCCTGATACAGGGGTGGAGTGGAGATCTCGCCACATGAGCGTTCGCTAAGAGCGTTACGCTCCAGTACAGAGAACTGCTACACAGTAGAAAAACTCAACGCACTGCAAACAACCCCAACAGAATGAAGACACTGAAAGAAAGCAAGAGCAGCTCTCAAAGCCCACGCTTCTTATGTAACCTGAACCTCCGTTTGGGCTCCCCATCAGTTTCTGCCTAATCTTAACGGAGTCAAGATACCAACCCTGTGTGTTTCAACTCAACAGGAGATTTCTCCTCATCTTATATCTGTATTCAGCATTAAACTGTATGAAGCAGGAAAAACTTACTAGTCTTTCGGTTTTCAACAAGCTAGAAAAGGCGAAGGGGTGGCGGCCGGGGAGCAGAATTGGCGGGAAAGTGCAGGCCAGATGCTGCTAGCTGATTAGCTGGCTTGCGGATGGGGGCTGGATGTAGTGGATTTTTCCTGCTTTTATTGGTTAGCCGAAGGCTGTTGCTGGTGGTTGGTAGTGTAGACATTGGGGAACGTAAAACGCTGATTGGTCAGGAATGTGAAGTGGGCCGCTGCCGATTGGGTGTTAAGGTTGGAGGAGGAGGAGGAGCTGACAACGGCATGCTCAGGAACCAATGGGCTGGTGCGACCTGATGACTGGCCACGCCTGGGTCATGTGACACCAACCCAGCCAGCTGATTGGGGCACGCTGGTCACATGATGCTGAAAGAGGACTAGTAGACTGACTCAGAGGGTGGTGAGGAGAGGCATGGTGGTGACTCTGCAACGGGGTTCATTTTTATTAATATAGAGATGATAAGATAAGAAAATAAAAAACAACCTTTTCATGTAAAGTTAAGTCAACAAAAGATTGCATTCCAACCATTACTAGAGCCGAGCAGATTACTGAAAACAAGCGACTGGGCTTTGGGCGGCCAATTCGCAAAGTTGTGCATAATCGACGTTAAATAAATCTGCACAAGAAGAGTGCGCGAAATCGCAGCCGGGTCAAATTTCAATCCGAAATAAAGCATGTTTTTACGAATTAAGCACATCCATCACTGCCAAAATTCTCATTACAATGAAAAAAACATTTTAAATTGAGTGAACAAATAAATGTAATTGTCGCAAACGACTTGATATTAGCAGTAATGAGAATTTGGGTGGAAAAAAGACGCTAAATTGTCATCACAACAACATCACAAGCTAAAAGCAGAAACGCTTCACAAAAAGCTCCCATTGGTAATGCAATTCACTTGACACACTATTAACACTTAATAATAAAAAAACTAAAACTAATAAACATATTAGAAGTATTCAGTTCATAACAAACAGAAGCTTATTGTAAAGTGTTAGCCGACCCAACAAGCAATCGAAAAGCTTGTGTTTGTTGTTCCGACTCGTAATTTCGGCGTCAAACGCGACCCGGGCGCCATCGTGAGATGAGCCCAAATAATCACTCGTGGATCTGCATTTAAACACTACTACCAGAATTTGAGAAGCCCAGTCAGATCATTGCTTAACGGTTATCAATGACAATGAAGATGGAGGAGCTAAAGATCTCCGTCAGATGCCCATCAGAGCCGGGACACGTGGCACCGGCGGGGCAGTGGCATCCAGGACTGGCGAAGGGGGCAGAATCGCATTAGTTTCCTCTGAAACACAGTTTATAGAGAGACGGGTGAGCGGGAGAGAGGGTTTACCTGCGCCGGGCTGCCGGGCTACGCCTTCGGTAGTCGTCGCGTGGACGTCGGCTCCAGGATGGAGGCGGACCCCGGTTACGAGTCCGCTTCTCGCCATTGGACAGCTCCACCCTCACTCGGCAACCGCAGAGAGTCCTGCGTGACCCGTCGATTAGACCAGAAGCCGTGAAGTAATTTGCTGATGATGATGATGATGATAACTAGCTTTATGATCCACACTCACCGTCCATCTAGTTCTCTGACGGCGTCTGTGGCGTCACGAGGGTCTTCGAATTCGACGAACGCAAAACCAGGAGGGTTTCTGGCCACCCAGACGCTCCTCAAGGGCCCGTAGTAGCCGAACGCCCTCTCCAGCTCGGACTTGTTCCCATTATTCCCAAGATTCCCAACGTACACTTTGCAGTCCAGAGGGCAGTCGCGATGCATGGCTCAATCTGCACAAGACAACGAGATGTTACATTTGATATCACTCTGGACCACAAAACCAGTCACATGGGTCCATTTTTTTTTATTGAGATTTATACAATAATAAGGATTCCATTGATGTATGGTTAGGTAGGGACAATATTTTGATAATCTGGAATCCGAGGGTGCAAAAAAATCTAAACATTGAGAAGAATCTACTTTTAAGTTGTGCATTTATGTTTTGGCATAAAAGAAAAATTAGTGATATCAACCCATACAATGTATTGCTGCTAATATTCCCGAGCAACGTGACTGGTTTTTGATCCAGGTTCACATATGAAATGTTGATTTTATCTTGAAATTTGGTCAATAAGTGTGTTTGAGTATCTTTAATATCTGCTGGCAGTTGAACCGCTCTCTTCCGCTTTTCTACTAGAGCAGCAAATAACCATGAACAGATGGAATAGCCTATATCATCCATCTCATGTAATCCATCAATTAGTGTTTCAAAGTAAAGACGTCAATAAAAAAAGCTTGTAATAGTCACATTTACCTCAGAAAAGCCACTCAATGACTAAATTCTACAGAGATGAGCATTTTCATAAATGTATGCACTAATCTAGATGATTTTTACCCTCTGTTCTACTGCTATGAAAATGTTATGGCCCTTATGAAAATTAACCATGGCTATATTACAGTAAAAGTGTTAAGTAGTAGGGTTTTTTTTGTATGGATCATAAATTTGCATAACCAGTTTTACTACCATAGTTAAACTATGGTGAGTGTAGCAAAGCCATTGTTTAATTATATTAACCAAGTTTTGCGGGGTTTTTTGTTGTTTTGAAATCGCAAGAAACCGTGAAATGTGTGTCGATACCCAGTCTTACTAGTCCACGTGTCAGTTATACACTAATTTAAATAAGCCAGAGAATGTCTATAGAGGGATAATAATGGAGGTGTGGCTGGTTTCGTTGTCCACCCCCCTCAATCTCTCTCTCTATACACGCCTATCGATGGTATCTTGGCATAATGTTTAATAAATGTATTTATCTTGCCAACTAAATTGTAGACAACGACCTTTAAGAGTCAAACACCGTCGATTTGTACTTTGTGGTGTTTGGGGTCCTAACAGAAATAATGCTTTAATCTACTACAAACCTGCATGTAACATATTTAGAGCAGAACAAAATAAATACATTTAAAAATAAAAACTAAATAACAGCTTCACCTGAAAATAAAGTAAAATAAGCCGAAGTTACATAAATAACGAACAATCGCGTTGGTTTTGTGTGCTTTTGTTCGCGGCTCAAAATGGCGCACGACGACCACACGCGACTGAACACAAAATACAAAACACAATGAAACACGAACTACTGTCTCTTTAACGTGCGATAGCTGCTGTACACATAATCAAGATTAATGTTGATGTAACACGCGTAATTAAAGACTCGAAGTAAACTGCTAATCGCTAATCTGGGTCAATAGTAAAATGGCGCCTGCAAAAAAAACACAAATTGAGCAAAAAAGGCTAAACCTTGTGCTAACACTTGAGATCAAAACACACACACACGACAGTATGAGATGCATTACAGCACAGTGAAAGCGAATAAAAGTACACTTACCGTCAATGTCGCGTGTTTCTGACCGTGTATGTTTGATTCCTGGATCAGATCCGCTGTGAAATGGCGCAGCGCGGAAATACGCAGGCTCTAACGTAATGTACGTCCTCACGCACGCAGAGGGGCGGGGCTTCAGACACTACAATCGATCATGAGATACACAAACAAACTAACAGGGTTTTTCATGTCGGTCAGTTGTAAATCATGAAAGCTGTGAAATACAGACCCAAAGTTGGTTGTTTTTAAAGAGACACTCTCTGCAGAAGTTAAAGTCCCCGTGAAATCAAAATTGAACCTATTTACTTTGTTAGCGCATATTACTAGTCTTGTGGTGAACAATTAATCCGTGCAAGTGAATATATATTTAAAAAATGTTTTACCTTAGTAATCTTTAATCAAAATCTGAAAAGTTACTTCCGGCCTGGAACGGTTTCTTTTTCTGATGACGTAGGCTTCACAGTTTGGGTGGGGAAACGCGTAACCACTCCCCTCAAACCGTTAGTTTACTATGAGCGAGAGATGGAGAGGAGGAGCGCTAGAGTAAAACCCTGCCCTCTGTTCAATATTCCGTTTCACTTGGAAATACGTCACAGCACTGGAGAAAAATCGTTTGCAACTTCCGGTTCACGGGGACTTTAAAACACGCCAAACAATATATAAAGAAGGTTATAAAGTTTACTTTACCATACTGAACATGCTTTATTTACGAAAGAAATGATATACTTTATGAAATTGTTTGTACTCTAAAATCACTGAAAAGTCAGAGCAGTGATTTGTGTGTAAATTTGAAGTTGACCACAAAAAGCGAGCCCTTACAGGTTTAAAAGTTTTAGAATTTTGAGTGTTTCAGCTTTTAAATGAAATCTTATTCATGATTACTATGTGATATCTATCTATCTATCTATCTATCTATCTATCTATCTATCTATCTATCTACACATGTGTAATGTATGCTGTATGGCCGCTGAAGGCTAATATTCCTCTTGTTTGGATTAGCTTGAGACAAACTGGTCAGAACTCTCTCAGTAAAGTGTTTCTGTCGGCTTGTGGGGATCCGAGCGGTTGCTACTCAGAGAAGTTTGACTTTACAGAAATCATCATTATCTTCATCACCATCAACATGGACGTCCACTGCATTCCTCACCCTTAGAAACCACATCTGAGACGGTTGCTATGGAACGAGGGTCTTCAGCGGAGCTCTTCTGATGTGGAAACACGTCGGCGCAATTGCTTAGTTCTGAAGTTCCAACGAAAAGGCATTTTAACTAGATAGCTTGTTACGGACACCAATGGCTTTATTGTTTAGATGTTTCCTGGGATTCTTCCCTTTCAGCAAACCTTCCCGCATCCGTTTCTTAACCCTCAAAGCAAGTCTCCGTCAGCAGCCTCTCTCAGCACATTCAAACTCCACAAGAAAGAGAGCGAAACTCAATCCCAGGAGCCGTCGAGCTCAATGAGGTGACTGCACTGGAGCATCATTAATCAGTGTTGTGATCCATCAATTATACATGACTGCTGGAAGCCACTAAAGCATAATTGAGTGATAATTGGGGCTCGTGGAGGCGGAGCTTGTGTCCTCTGAAGTGTGTGATGTCACTTCCTGTGTCTGGGCGCCAGAGGTCTATTTAAACGCTGAGGACTGAGCGAGAGAGTCCGGAGCTTCAGGAACGCAGTGGTGTGTTGGTGAAGTTCTGCTGGTAAACGTGTGTGAGCTCATGTTTCTGATGTTGAAGACTCCAGGATCTCAACGACTCGCTTTCATGATCCTGATGGTGATCGCAGCCGTACAGTGTCAGGAGAATGAGAGGTACATCTATCTATCTATCTATCTATCTATCTATCTATCTATCTGTCTGTTTGTCTATCCATCCATCAATCTATTCATCCTTCCATTTCTATCTATCTATCTATCTATCTATCTATCTATCTATCTATCTATCTATCTATCTATCTATCTATCTATCTATCTATCTATCTATCTATCTATCCATACGTCCATCCATCCAACTATCCATCCATCTATCAATCTGCCTAACTTTCCATCCACCCAACTATCCATCCACCCAATTATCCATCCATCCATCCATTTATCCATCCATTTATCCATCCATCCATCCATCCATCCATCCATCCATCCAACCATCTGTTCTCTTGATCTTCTCTGTGGTTGTCCTGAGATTACACATCTCTCTCCAGCAGACGAGCGGTGACTGAGCATCAGCTGATGCATGATCGCGGTCGCTCCATCCAGAGTCTGAAGAGACTGATCTGGCTGTCCAGTGCGATCGAGGGTCTTCACACGGCCCAGATGCGCACCGTGACCCCTGATGACCCGGACATCAGGTGGCGCTCTCAGGCTCCGGGGCAGATCTTCTCTCAGTCCGGCCACAAGAGGGCGCTGGAGACGCTGCTGAGAGACATGTACACACCCCACCTCATGCAAGATCTGCTCGCAAATATGCACAATAGACAAATAACCACCTATTCTGATCTCCCGGGAAAACTAACCAATGACAGTCCGACCCGTCTGTAATAGAGACAGAGCAACACGTCATAATCTGAAACTACGCCCACCGGGCAGGAAAACAATCCAACTTCTGGCGTTAAGATTAAACAAACAAAAAACAAAACAATGTCTAAAAGCTGCTATGACAAGGTGTACAGCAAACAAGCTAAAAAGATAAATAAGTTTAAAAAGCTGTTGACCCCAAAAAACGAGCGTTTAAGGACACAAAAGAGGAGACCGGCTGGTGCAAATGGGTAACTGTGGGATCCTGACACTCAGTATGCGCTAAAAATACACTACATGTGCAGTAAACATTTAGACCTAAGTCAAATATCCAAATGTCAGTTTTATACATTATATTTCTGTAAGGTACGCTATTCTGTCGCCGATTACGTTCTCCTCAGTGGCGTAAATTAGTTCTCAGAGTAATAGACACGGTGCGCTCTCTCTCAATCGCCTGTTTCCACTTTTGTGTCTTTAAACGCTCATTTTTTGGAGTCGACAGATTATAAAAACGTATTTCTGGGTTGTTTCGCCTGTTTGCTGGACACCTTGTCTCATAGCAGCTTTGATTTGTTTGTTGTTAGAAATTATAAATGACGAGGACGCAGATTTACACAATACAGGCTCAATGGAGACGGCTGGATTATTTTTCCCGCCCGGTGGGCGTGGTCTAAATGCGCTCTGTCTCGAGACTGAGTGAGTGGAGAAGCTTTACCGAACAAAACTAGATCGTTCTCATTATAATATACAAACAAAACTAGCTAGTTTTGTAAAGACAAACGTATTTATTAGGATGTAAGCGATCTAGTTTTGGCGCGTTTTCTACATCTGCGCGCGCAGATTAACGGTCACCCGTGATCGTCACCTATAAATCTGCCTGCAAGTCTTGTACGTTTACTGTGGTTAGTACACGTCCAAAAACATGGTATATGTATAAAAATACTATGGTGTTTTTGTTTTGTAAGCATTTTGTTTACTTAATGTGTGTGATGGGTTTCAAATGTCTCGCTGTTATGATATTTATCTATAACTGTGGCTATAAACAGATCACATTTTTGATTTATTATGTGTGTGTGATTAAAGATGCTTTTAAGTAAACCACTGTTTATAGCAGAACTCATTTCGGCTGAAACACCTCAAATATAGTGAATGTGTGTTTGTATCTGAATTGTAATCCATAAAAAGAAGAACCACACACCAAAACAATACGTTTTATTCGTTTTTCTAACAACAGTGAAGGTCGTTTACCATTTAGTGTATTTATTTATTGCTTGCCAATGCCCAACTATTTCATATCCAGCTGCAACCCAAGTTTAAGATTAGTTTGCAGTTTATAAATACAAAACTCCTGCATTTCACAGTGCTCAGTATGAATATGTGAATATAAAATGATAAATAAAGTCAAATTGAAGTTCCACTCAGCTAACTGAGAACGTTCTGACAAGGTTCTCTCAAAGTTAAAGACAAGCGTTTTATTTCTAACGCATGTTCGTCATGTTGTTTAAATGTTTGTAATTGTTTCAGAATGTTCAAAACTAATGTTCACATAATGTTTGAAGAATGATGTTCCTTAACATTCACATAACCAAGAAAAAACATTAAAAAAAACTAGATGTTTTGAACGTTTGTGAGCGTAACTTTATGGGAACATTGGCAAAAAGTTCTTAGAACACAAGCTCAGAATATAAAACAGTATGAAATATGAATTAAACATGAACAAAGTAAACATGAACAAAACGCAGTGATTTCATTCAAACATAAAATTAATTATTAAAAAGTATAAATCCCATTACTGCAGAAAACACACAGTCCTACAGTAATCCATCAGGTAGAGCGGACTCTTGTGTTTCAGAAACATCCAGTAATGTTTACCTCTCCGCGTGCGGATGCAGAGAGTGAAGGGTTGGCACGGGTTTCTCTCTCACACACACAAACACACTCTCTCTTCCACTAGCACTTCATTATCCTGCAAAACATAAAAACACTGGCTTTAATTAGCAAAATGAGAGTTTGAATAGTCTAAAATATATCAAACGTCACAAGAACATCTTGACCTAGAAGCTAAAGTGAGACGGGACCTGAATCATCAAATGATCGAGTTCAAACTCGAGAGCGTTTCTGGACACACTGTTCAAACATATCTATATTTTGCATAAATGTTAGCATGCATAACGTTTATTGCAACTATATTTTATCCCAGATGAAAAATTCCAATTAGTAATAATGCCATATTATATTGCAATGTTATATTACCGAGATCCCAGTGAACTGGAACGTTCTCACAAAGTTATGAAAAAACGTTCTCCCAATAACAATCATTCTCCAAAGTTATTTAGTCTTTATAACGTTAACGTTTTTTAAAATGTTACTTGTTTCAGAACGTTCAGAGAACATCTAAAGTAACGGAATGATACAATGAAATGTTCTCTTAACGTTCACATAACCAAGAAAAAACGTTTATATAACGTAATGGGAAGGTTAGCAAAACATCTTTAATGTGTACTTTGTTAGCTTGGTTACTATTAGTTTTTATTAACATTTAAATGTATTTGATTTCAGTTAACAGATATTTTATTTAAAGTAACAAGTGTTTTTATGGTTTTAGTTGTCGTTTACTATATTATGTCAATAATGGAGTGCGCTACATATTTTTCTTTTTGGAAATGCGAGTCGAAGAGCTGCATGATTCTGGATAAATTAAGCTGCACGACAGCTTTTTTTTATTTAAACAGAGATGACGATTCGGAACAGACAACCAAACAAACTAACATTTCATTTACTAAAAGTTCTGACAAATGTTAATTGCTGCATTCTGAATGAATAAATGAATGATTCAATGACTCACTTCTAAAGATTTCACTTGTTTCATGACCGAATGAATCAGAGTTTTTGAATGAATCGCTTGAATTAATGATTCAATAACTAATCACCTGTCTCCACCTACTGGTGTAATGATGTAATCGACACAATCGTTACGAAGCATCAGGTGATTTGTTCTATTTTGATCACTACCATAGACAACAGTGATTTATATCTGAACTATAAACGTTTATCCCAGTTGTTCTGTGATAAACTGAATGATTGTAGGACAGAATTAATGCTACGGTGTGGTTGAAAATACTGTTTTATACGTAAGCATGATACCGGCTCTCTCTTTCAATGCTCCGGTATGATCTTGTCAAAGGTTTAATAGACACAGACGAATCATTGTAGTGAATGAATAAGATCGCGTGGGTGTTTGAATCAAGATGGTGATCTTTTAACGACTAGCGGTGCAGCTCTAGCGTGTCGTACGGTAATGATCTTCTCTTACGTCACTGCAGGATGTCGGCCAGTTTATCCTGATAGTACTCGTAGTTCTCCTGGCAGTCCTCCCACGGCGTGAACGTCTGCTCGTCGTTCTCTACGAACGTGTCCCAGGTGTAGGTGAAATCCAGCGGCTTCATCATGCGCAGTTTGCAGCCGGCGGCCGCTAGCGCCTTTAGCCCCGCCTGGATCTCAGGCTCCTCCCAGTCGAAGAGCCGCGCGGAGAAGATCGACAGGCGAACGCTTTTCCTGGCCTTCAGGATCTCCGTCAGCTTCGCGGCGCAGGCCGCGCACGGGCTGGACGACATGTACCAGGTGATGGTGTATTTGCAGGCTGGGTCGTAGTTGGGTAGGACCTGCTGGAAGAAGGCGTCCTCGGCGTGGGCGCCCGCGTGCTCGTCCTCGAGGTATCCGCGGAGGAGGCTGTCCGAGCCCTGGTCCACCAGGTAGCACAAGAAGGTTTTATTCCGGCCGGACGAGTACTCGACGTTCTTGAACTGGAACTTGTAGAAGAACGGGTCAATGCGATCCCTGTGGGCAGATAAAGCGGGTGACTTTAAGACCTGAATACTGGAACCTCAAGGCATTTCACTCAAGGCATTTCACGCAGATCACCACTTATGTACAGTTTTATTCTTTCGTATGTACAGCACTTTGGTCAACTCATGTTGTATTATAATGTGCTTTATAAATAAATTGAACCTTGAACCTTGAACCTTGAACCAAATCAGTCGCATTCTTGTAAACTCTTTTAGCGGCTCGATTTTTGTGATATCAACTTCAAATTTGAAACACAACTCAGTCCCTCCAGAAAAACGCGATTATGCGATCGTTGAATTCAATGCAAAATCAGCCAAAGTCCGCATATTTATGCGGGGGCCGCATTTTTTCAAATACGCCGCACTTTCGCCGCATAAATTGCCAATTTCCTTGCAAAATATGCGGGGTTTGCATAATTTTATAATCCTCGCATTTTCGTTGCAAAAAAAAGTCACGTGTATTTTAGTAGAAAGTTAAAAAATGTTCCGTTTGCTTCACACAAGAGCAGCCATTTCCCTCTGTTTCCATGGGAACGTTATGAAGTGACGCAATTACGCGACGCCGGACAGACTCACGGAGGCGATTGACATCTCACAAATCGAACTCGTATAACTGTCTGTCACACGTTCTACCGTCACATCGTTACTTAATAAACAACATAAGATAAAAGAAGTAGCATCAAACAGACATGGGGTGTTCGAGACGCACATATAACACTGCAGAGAGTTTAACAGGGAACGCGCAGCTCTTAAAGGGGCCACACCTTATTTACACTCGTTATAGTCTGAAATAAAACAAGATGAGAAATTAAATATTCCCAGCACTTTCTATGATGTAGTATGCTTGCTTATCAAAGGAAGTAATAAGAAATGACTCTTACATTAGCCTAGTGAGAACAGGATGTTAGGGGAATCACTGAAAAAGAGAAATCTTTTTCATCAAACCGCAATTTTTGCAAGTTCTCTCAATTTTTGCAAATTCCTGCAATTTCATCGTATAAAATTGCATAAATATCCCGCATATTCCATCGCATTTTTAAAGAAAACAGGCCGAGTAGGCTAATCAATCAATTTTTGCCCGCAACAATCACAAAAAAACTCCGCGTTTTTCTGGAAGGACTGAATACTATTATGGTAAATGTTATATATAAATCGCAAATTTTTTCACAAATTTTTGGAAATTACCACCACAAAATCAGTCATTTTGATCGCAAAAATCACAAAAAAAAAATCGTGAAATCCTGGAGGGACTGACAACTGAGTTAGACATATGGCTCTGAAATTCTAGTAATTTAAGAGACCAGGTTATTTTGTAAAATATATATTTTGAGAAAATGTTTGTGTTTCAGTGTTTGGGTAGTTGTGTTACCCAGCTGCTCCTGGGTCAGACGTAACAAGCCTCTGTTTTGGTAGTTTATGTGTTACCCAGATCCTGGGTCAGACTCAACAACCCAGTGTTAGGTAGTTTTGTGTTACTCAGATCCTGGGTCAGATATAACAACCCGGGGGTTGAGTTATTTATTGCAGACTTTTTGCGACCTCTTCAGAAGAGGGCAGTGCAGCTCGAGTGTCTTCGGTAAATTCCAAATTAGGTTGTTTTCAACCCAGGACATTTGCTTTACACTAAACTTAAACTTCTGTTAAAACATTTTGATGTTCGTAAACTTCTGCAAAAATCTGCTGATTGTGTCTTTAAAAGGAACCAACCGTACCAGTCTGTATTCCAAAGCTTTCATGAAAGGGGAGTGATTATTTATGGTTAACAGGTTAAATGTGCATTATTCCGCAGTCTTTATCCTCCGAGGGGGGTTCTGTGGGGGTTTTACACAGCTCCTTCACAGGCTGACAGGTGGAAGGACTGTCGGGGTTATAAATACCCTCAGCGGCGGCAGAACTTTATTCCTGGAGTCTGACCCATATACAGAACCGTGTGTCGTGAGATGCTTTGGTTTGGAGGCATTGTGTGTGTTTGCTGCCAGATGAACCTGGCTGATCTGTACTGAGCACCTGCTAGTAGATGATCCACAACAATTCACAGCTTTAATGTGTCGACAGAATCAAACTCATCAGCGTTATCAAACACGCTTGGATTCTTAAACGGATTCGGAAATGCAAATATCCATTTAACCCTTTAGAAATCCAGCAATTATCTCTTAAATATGTCAACTATGCTTTCAAAACCAATTAAAAATCTTCAAATGAGCTTAAGATGATTAGTTACCAACATCCACGTTCATTTTGCAGCACAAATGCTGGGTTGTTTTAACCCAATTTTGGGTCAAATATAGACTCAAAAATTGTGTTAATTTTAAGCATTTAACCCAATGGCCGGGTTTGTCCATATCTGACCCAAAATCGCAGACTCAAATTGGATGATGACTACTGACAGATTTTGGGTCTGTTTTTATTTCTCTTTGGAAATCTTCGTCCATTTTAGGCTAAATGAGATGCAAAAGGTTCATTAAGTTTCAGGTTCAGGCGATTCAGGTTCTTCCGATTGATTCTTTAAAGCACCAGATGGATGCTCTAGCGTTATTTTTGAGAGTGTGTACTTTAGATAACACACAGCAGACAGCGAGACACATCACCGCCTGTCAGGACCGACCTTGGTGGGGGTTGGGTTGGATTTATCTGCTCTCCACAAGCTTTCGACCCAAACGTTCACGCTTTTCCCAATAGATCCACAGATATGCTCTGGAGAATCACTACCATTTTTGGCTCCCCGAAGAGACTTTCGGTGCTCCGTTTGTTTCTTTAATGATATAAATAACCCCTTTCCACCCTTTAAGTGGTTCCATGGTTGTTAAAGGTTCTTCATCAATGCCAATAATTAGACATGATGGAACAAACCCAAAATTATTCATTAATCCCCCTGAAAATCTTGTCATCTGCAGCCATTGGTGTTGGTGTAGATTCACACACTCCGCGTCATTGATCCCAAACACCATTGGTTCTCGCATATCACATGACTAATCGTGATTCAGCAAGTTTGTGAGCAAAAGGGTGACTTAAATGTTAGCACACAGACCACATCGAATACTTTTACAAAGCTTTTAAGGTTCCAAAAGTTGTTGGTTTTTTTTGTCATAGAAGCATTGGGAACCAAAAACGGTACTTCTGTGACTGTATCAAAAAACCCATTTTGGACCTTTCAGTGATAAGTTCTTAAAAAGAAAAAATAATTCTATAAGAGCGAAGAACATTTGCATAATCTGAAGAACCTTTCATGCAATGGAACAGCCCTGTGGATTCTTCATGGAACCATCGATGCCAATAAAGAACCAATAAGATGTTTTCTGGGGGCGTACCTGCTCCTAAACATCTCCTGTTGTGGGTTTGGGATGCACATGTTGTTTTATCCTCGTCTAATGTTCTGTCCAGGGTTTTCAGACTCACCCGGTGATGATCTCGAACGGCGGCAGCTCCATCAGCTCCGGTTTCTCTCCGTTCCCTTCCTTCTCCACTCCGGCACCGGCACCGGCCTCTCCGTTCTCCACCGCCTCCTTCTTTCCATTCACCTCAGGCTTCTCTCCTTCTTTAGGGGGTTTCTCCTCTTTCTTTGCCTCATTTTCTGCTCTTTCTTTCCTCTTTACGGTCTGACGAGAGCCGACACCACTGCTGCTCTTTCTGTCGGCCATCTTTGAAACTAAACACACACACACCTAAGTATTTATAACAGCACTAGTGTGTGTGTGTGTGCAGCTGTCCGTCTGTTCTATTAAAAGACCTCCTGGCCATAGAGATGATAGATAAACGAAATCTTACACAGCATTTCATCAAAAGTTGGACGGACACTTCTTCCTGGGATATCAGACAGATTTGTGTTGTTGTTGTGCAGCGCATAGTGAAGTAAAAGCATTATGAAGTTGGTTGATTAATATCCAGAGCTCCAATATAACTAACGTTAACGTTCCCGGATCGTTTGCTTTGAGAGAACCTTTGCAGAACGTTCGCTGTGATATTAGCTGCACTGAAACTATTAACTCACGACAAGCCAACTGAACTGATACAATCATCTGTCCGATAACATCTGAGGTGCAAAACAACATCTGGATTTTTTTTTTATCGCTCAAACATTCACTGCTAAAGATCAACGTGGAAACATGACATCGAAACAACGTTGATCTGACATTGTTTTGCTCATCGAATTAACGTTGAACCAACGTCAGACGCGTCATTCTTTCAAAACTAACGGAAAATCAACTTGAAATCAACGCGTTGTTTGAACGTTATGAAAGCAACCAATTTTCGATTTTAATTTAGCTTTGAAGAATGCCGCGTCTGACGTTGGTTCAACGTTAATTCGATGAGCAAAATCAACGTTGTTTCAATGTCACGAGAGACGTCGTTTCCACGTTGATTCAATGTCAGTTTGCTGTCTGGGACGTTAATTTGATGAGCAAAACAATGTCAGATCAATGTTGTTTCGATGTCATATTTCCACGTTGATTCAATGTCAGTCTGCTATCTGGGTAAATATAAAAAAAAATTCGAGTTAGGCTACACTGCATTCGTTACAAGAGGTTTTGTCTAATTCTCGCGAAAAAAACTAAAACAAAACAACAACGTTGAAACAAGTTAAATTACCTTGAGAAGGAACTCTGCATAAGACTCGCTGTTTTTAGTGACTGTATCTAACAGCGTGACTGAAACGAAGCCAACCGTACGCAGTTTACGTAAGGGGTAAGTCGCGCGCTTTGGTAAACTTCTGTCAATCATTCTTTTGAAAGTTGTCATTCATCTCCTGAGGTGATGAAAACGGCACTAAACAGAGGCAGTGAGCTGTTGTAGCACACGCTCCTGGTGAAGTAAGTGTCGACGACGACGTACGAGATCACTATCTTATTCACGTTGTAATAATTTAAGTCTTGCTAGCCGCGAGTTAGCGATTTTACCTCAGGTAACCGTTCTCATGCTCAAACCTGTGGTGTGTGTTTGTGTAAATGGAATATTTAAATGTGTTGTTAATTAGAAAAAAACACTTAAAACATTTTCTATTTTACGCTTATTTGTTAGCCTAATCAAACAAAAACTCTAACGTTACCTTTGGAAGTTTAGTTTGCTGGTCCCTCGTATGAGAATGATCGATCAGTAAATCCCCTGATCTGTATTGATAACCAAATCGGTATTTCCAATAACTTCACGTTAATGCAAAAAGTCATGGTAGCACTATTGATACTTTCTGGTACTTTTTTGTAGGTTAAAAAATACCAGGGAAAATGTCCAAAGGATCCTCATGGTACTTTTTGTTGTTGTAGTTCCCGGATGTGTCCAGATGGTGGCAGGAGTTTCACACTGATGGAGTTTGAGTGTGTGTGTGTGTGTGAAGCTTTAACCTTACCTAACCGATCAATGGAGTTAATAACAGAAGGAACTGCTCTCCGTCACACTGACCTTCATGTTGAACTAGATGGCGAATATATAACAGCTCAGACCCCAAGCTGAGCTCAACACACGGACACAGCGACTTCCCAATGATTTTACTTCAAGATTATCAACCCAAACCGAACCCTTTGTGGACAAAGACGTGGAAATAAAGCAGAATGTAATCTGCAGTGCATCATATTTACATTTGAAGTCAATCATTATGGCTTCAGGGCATTTATGAATCATCTTTTTTTGTCAGTAAAGTATAGTCTGAGCATCATGAGCTCAGGAGATTAATTTAAATACATACGTTAAATGTGACCTTTTAAAACATGACCTTTGTAGTGCTGATCTAATACGGTTTCTCTCTCTGATCTACTGGTGATTATTTAGTTATGATCTTATCTCGCCTTCTGTAGAAATCATTAACATCTTAAGTCTGAAAACAAAGAGCATTTCTTTATTTGATCACATTTGCAGCCGCAAGTTTTCTCTTGAAGAACCGCACTGACACACACACACACACACACACACACACACACACTACCAGCAAAGAGTTTTAATCCATAAGATTCATAATGTTTTTAAAAGAAGTCTCTTCTGCTCACCAAGGCTGTGTTTATTTCATTAAAAATACAAAAAAAAAAAAAGTAATATTATTATTCTGCTTTAAATGAGTTTTTTCTATGTGAATATATAAAAAAGAGTAATTTATTCATTATTAACATTAATGATAATAATCATAAATGTGTCTCGATCATCAGATCCTCATATTAAGAGTGATTTCTGAACGATCATGCGACACTGAAGACTTGTGTAATGATGATAAAATACACAGGAATAAATTACACTTTACTGTATATTCACATAGAAAACAGATGATTTACTGTACATTAAAATAATGTTTCACTGTTTCTTACCGACTTAAAAATATTACCGATCCCAAACATTTCACTAGAAGATTTATCAGTGAGGATCTAAAATAAATAGTGAGAAGCTCTTAAAAAAGCTGAAAGGACATTGATGACTGATGGATGATAGAGAGAGATAGATAGATAGAGAGGGAGGTGTAGGTGTACGTGACAGGCGCCTCCGCTCATTCATCTTCACTCAAACCCGTTCTCTTGCATTCCTTGTTTCTCCATCATGTGACGTCGACGACATGGAAAAGGCCTGCAGAGATGCGGAGGGGAATGCGATGGAAAGACCTAAATATGGATCACATGATCAACCGCTATTTTTAGTGGCGGACTGAGTAAAAATGGAAAGAGAAAAGTGCAAACATGCAGATGATGCTTCAGTCCTAGAGTAAACACATCAGGATCCTCACACACAACAACAGAACAGTGTTTACCATCACCTACATCTACAGAGCAAACACACACACACACACACACACTCCAGCAAGTCCTGCAGCAAACCGAAACCTGTTATAAAGTTACACACACACACAGCGACGGTAAATATTGACAGAAATGACTTCATCCCTCCAGGTCTAGTAGAGAGTGTTGTGTGTGTTTGAGTGTGAATGAGTGAGTGTGTCTGCCTGTGTGTGTGAGAGTGTGAATTGCCATGTAAAGAGTGCCAGCGAGACATTATTTGCTCTGTTTATCTCTGAATGCATGTTAGCGCTCCTGTCATGTTTCAAGTTCATGTATCAAGGTCTGAAAAGCTATTGTCAGGAACAGGGTTGAGCGAGCGAGAAAGGGAGAGAGAGATATTCGCTGGAATTCCCCCTCCCAGCGGGACACGCTCACCTGGACACGCCCCTCACGCCGTTCGCTATAAATGCAGATTAGCGGCGCAGGTGCATCACAAACCCTTCAGATCCTCTAACACACACACACAGGCGACTGGATTATTACTTAACCAACACTTACTGGGATTTTATCTGGAAACCAAACTTTCGTCTGGCTAACACAACAGGTAAACTCGCCTTTGAAAAGTTACAAGCAATTTTGAATTCAAGAAGACCAAAATGGCTATTGTACTCCTGATTAAGGTTTTGATTCACATCAAATGTTTGCTACTGTATTTTTTGTTTCGGGATGATGTTACATCTGTGTTTTTGTTTTTTTTGTATCTTGCAGAATTCACAATGGCGTCAAGCGAACTCAGTCTAATCCTCAACAACGCGAATGCCAACTTGTACCCGGAGCCGCAACACCCGTTGATGTGCATGACCAGAACACCACATCTCTCAGAGATCAACTTCCACAACAGCAACACTTGCTGTAAGTTCTTGACATCCCTTTCAGATCCTTCTTAATCACTAATAATCTTTGCAACTTTATTTAAGACAGTAACTTTATTGTAAAGCTGCATCTGTATTGTTGAAGCGCTGTATAAATGAAGATGGCTCGACTAATGTAATGGGATGCTTCGCATCACTCAACCAAAGCCCAGACATGCCGATAATCTCTCCTCCCTCAGTCTGACCTCAGTTTCTGACTCTTAAAATCATTAACCCGGGCAATGTTTAACTTGGCGCGCAGGAATGCTTTCTATACAGGCTTTCGGCAGTGTTGACACTGTGATTAAAAAACCCTACGGGGGGTGCCAACACTACAGATAGTTAAACACACAACAGAAGCGCCAAACCCTGGAGACGGTGTTCCTCTATTGTTAGATCTGCGACCGAATCACCTGTGCAGGTGTGATTGAATCTAAACGTACTTTTAAACCTGTTCTCCGGCAGGCCCCTGGGACCAGGTCAACCCGCAAATGTGGACAAGGCAGAACGTTCTGGAGTGGATCGGCTTTCAGGTGGAGGAGAGCCGGTTTGATGCAAGTCGGCTGAATATGAGCTACTGCGACATGGATGGGCTCACGTTGTGCGCCATGCCTAAAGAAACATTGATGAGCATGTTTGGACAGAGCTTTGGTGAACGGCTCCACCAGAATCTAGAGAACCTGAAAGCCAGACATGGTGAGTGACTTGTTTAACCGAACCCTTTTTTTGGAAGTTGTACCTCTTGGGAATGCATTGACACCCTTGATTTGCTTGTATCTACAGCTAATGACTTGTCTGACAACACCGTTCTAAGTGAATCTGAATTAGATATACTGGAAAACATCCTTCATGACCAGTTTCCCTTCATGCACGGACCAAACCTCGGACCTCTGCTGGAAACCGTGGTGGTTCAAACCTCAATCCCAACTGGTGAGTCCACTTTAAACCCAATCCACAGAGAGCAGTACCAACTTGCCCGAACTGGAAACAATAAAGTAATTCTGTTTCCGCAGACAATTCAGAGACAAAATACAGTTACTTCGATGAGTACACCAACCAGCTGACTCCAGAGAGCGATCACGGATATGACTCCCTAACCGAGAGTTTCCAGAGTTCCCACGCAGGTACGCATCGAGTCCACCGAGCTCGAATGAACAAATAACTCCTGAAGTCCAGATCCTGAAGTCTAAACTCTTTGTTTTCGTCCTTTTCAGGCAGCTTCCTGAACCCGAGCTCACCCGAGTCCAGCAGCGATTCAGACCCTGAATACTCAGAGATGCCGTTCTCCGTTAGCTCAAGTAAGTACCTTCGAAGCTCAACCTCACTCCTCGAGGCCTATCAACCTGTAGAGGCTAGTCAAACACACCTGAACCAGCTAATCAAGGTCGTCGGGATTACCTGACAGTTAAAGACAGGTTGAAACTAAACTCTGAACTCTGCAGGAAGGTGGTTCTCGAGGAGCCATCGATAGAATTGACATTCCCCGAATGATCCAAGAGGTAGTTGCCTAACCTTGGAATGCTTCCTTTTCCACAGAGGTCACTATAAAACAAGAGCCTGGAAAGAGCCAGAAGAGAGGTCGAGGACGCCCTCCAAAGCCCAGGAATAATGAGGGATACGAACACTTCATTCAGTCCAAAAAGAGCAAACATTGTAAGTACGCAGAACTCTATTTAAAGACGCCCCCAGCAAGCAATTTTGCATGGCCGTCCAAACACGTTGGGTGGTTTTAGAGTTCTTTTAAACACAAAATTGCTTGCTGGGAACATAAGGCCGAGATCGAGTGTAAGAAGAGGCTAACAAGACTTTAATTGCAGCTCCAAGAGGAACCCACCTTTGGGAGTTTATCCGAGATATCCTGATTCATCCGGAGCAGAATCAGGGTCTGATGAAGTGGGAGGACCGACGGGATGGCGTATTCAAGTTCCTCAAGTCCGAAGCCGTTGCTCAACTTTGGGGGCAGAAGAAGAAGAACAGCAGCATGACGTACGAGAAGCTCAGTAGAGCCATGAGGTAAAGGACTCAATTCTGGGATCAAGGGATTTGTCTCGGCGTCTGGGATCGAGGATTAATTGAAACTCTTGCTCTTTCCTACAGGTATTACTACAAGCGAGAGATTCTGGAGAGGGTTGACGGACGTAGGCTCGTCTATAAGTTCGGGAAGAACTCCACCGGTTGGAGAGTGGAGGAGACCGGATACTAAAGAGAGAGTCGCTTCTGGTCAAATGTAGAGGTTTTGGTCTCAGGCTTAATGGGCTTTGAAGATTGAAGGTCCTCGCTTTAGAAACACACTCTTCCCAGAGGGAAAAGGTTTCACAGAAACTGTAAGCCAGTGTTTTGGCTAAAGTAGGTTTTATGAACCGGTAAAATTGTATAGTGGGGCTTGTCTGGTTGGATTGGCACGCGGGCGTGGCCTGGATCAGACGGTATCGCTACACCACTTAAAGACTCTGTAAACACACGTTCTACACAATGGTTGAACTGTGAGAGAAGGTAAAGCTTTGTAAAGCCTCTTTGGTGTTGGGAAATGAAGTTTCATGTGTAACTATTTGTCAGAGTAGACTGACCGAAGAACATGACGGTGGTTTGAAGTTTTGTAACGTTCATATTTGTTGTATATACACACAGTACTATATATATTCTTCGTAATACTTGTCAATCTAGTACAAATCAGATATATCACTGAAGATTCTGCTCAATTTTGTTATGTGATTTGTTAAGTCACTGGATTATGTGTATGAGGATTCCCTCGCAGATTGTATACTATAACAATTTTGTATGGCATATATTTGCTGTTTCTTTTGTATGAGCTTTTTCTAAAATAAAATTTCTTATGAAAACTATCTTTGGATGCGTTTATCTTGTAGTTGGTGCCTCACCCTCTTTATAACTACGTTCCACTCAAACGTATTTCAACATTTACTTTATATTTGCTCAAGTCTTGTTATCAGAGATCACAGGTGTGTTGAAATGAGACACTTCTGTATGAATTACAACACAAATATACGCAACAGCTCGCACAGACAAACACTACTTGAGTTATTGTGCACCTCAACCATCCAGCATTAACATGTTAAAAATGCGGGTCAAATATCAGTGCAAATCAAGATCTTACATGCCGTATGATTCAGCAGATTTTTGTTACTGCGAGGCTCCAAAATATATACAAAACATCACGAATCTTCAAAAAAACAATGTGTTTGAATCAGGTGGTTTTTAGTGCACGTATAAAAGCAGTTCAAACAGGTGTAGAGAATCACATTAACCACCACTAACTCATCACAATCAAACCTAATAAAACTAGACTGGTTTTGGCATTTCAAATCGTGCAACTTATTTAACACGTCGCCGCTCGGTTTTAAACGTGATTTAACTGTGCAAAAGTTTAGGATGACTTTAAACCGTAAAACAAGAACACATAAGTCTATACACCAATTTTTGTGTTACTGTTTGGTTTTCACGCCTAGAATTTCCAAACGACGCATTTGATGCACCCAACCGAATGGCATTTTTCATAGCAGGTTTAGTTTTGCATTTTAGAGCACAATGCCACTGTTTTTTAGAGGTCCGGCATTCAAATACACACATTCATAAGCCACATTGCATTTGAATTTTGGACCCACATGCAAATAGATGTAGCTGAAGCAAGAGAACCGTCGTCCCAATTCAAAGCAGTAAATAGAATTTGAATTGGAAAATCTCATGTGTCTGAAATAAAACACCATTTAATACCTGTGAGAGCTGCACAAAACACTCATGAGCTCGAAAACACTTTAAACTACACTGGAATTACGGTTATTGGAGACAGCTAATCTGGTCGCGTTGAACCGGATTTATTTTACACTAGAATCCATCAAACCATCTCAGATGACTTGATCACAAGTTACTTAAAACAGAAGTTTCACTCTGGGATCTTTACACCATTGTCATGATTTTATTGTGTGTGACCAGTCACCCAGAGATTATGAGCGCTTACTTACAATAACATGAATATGTGCATCACATAACCTCTTTAAGGCGTGTTGCAGGTGTGCGCACTGTTATATTTTCATTTTTTAAGACAATACACAAAACTATGCGCACTGCAAACATAAGGTGGATTGTCAGTTTGAATCGTGACTATCATGACTAATATTCTCTGTACACTCCTAAAAGAGCTGTTGTCTAAACTGAAATTACCGACAATAATTATCCAGGTCAAGAATGTTTTTGATAAGCCATGCCCGAGAGAAAGGTGTAAACTTATACAGTCATTACCCAGCTAACAGGTTCTCTCAAAGTGTATATTATTGATCTACCTTACTTCAGGTGGACGATGACGCAATATTCCTCTAGAAACAAACTTTGGTGCATTATTTTCCGCTTATCTCTGTATTTACATATTTTTTTAACAATTGCATGCATCGTCATTTCAAAATGTTGTCATTAAAATGCTTTATAGTTGCTTTCTAAAGCCTGTTTACAGCAAGAGCAGTTTACACCACACCAGCGGACGATAACTATAACGATAACTATATTAGTGTTCACACCAGCGGACGATAACTATAACGATAACTATATTAGTGATCACACCAGCGGATGATAACTATAACGATAACTATATTAGTGTTCACACCAGCGGACGATAACTATAACGATAACTATATTAGTGTTCACACCAGCGGACGATAACTATAACGATAACTATATTAGCGTTCACACCAGCGGACGATAACTATAACGATAACTATATTAGTGTTCACACCAGTGGACGATAACTATAACGATAACTATATTAGTGTCCACACCGGCGGACGATAACTATAACGATAACTATATTAGTGTTCACACCGGCGGACGATAACTATAACGATAACTATATTAGTGTTCACACCAGCGGACGATAATTATAACGATAACTATATTAGTGTCCACACCAGCGGACGATAACTATAACGATAACTATATTAGTGTTCACACCAGCGGACGATAACTATAACGATAACTATATTAGTGTTCACACCAGCGGACGATAACTATAACGATAACTATATTAGTGTCCACACCAGCGGACGATAACTATAACGATAACTATATTAGCGTTCACACCAGCGGACGATAACTATAACGATAACTATATTAGCGTTCACACCAGCGGACGATAACTATAACGATAACTATATTAGTGTTCACACCAGCGGACGATGACTATAACGATAACTATATTAGTGTTCACACCAGCGGACGATAACTATAACGATAACTATATTAGTGTCCACACCAGTGGATGATAACTATAACTATAACTATATTAGTGTTCACACCAGCGGACGATAACTATAACGATAACTATATTAGTGCTCACACCAGCGGACGATAACTATAACGATAACTATATTAGCGTTCACACCAGCGGACGATAACTATAACGATAACTATATTAGGGTTCACACCAGCGGACGATAACTATAACGATAACTATATTAGTGTTCACACCAGCGGACGATAACTATAACGATAACTATATTAGGGTTCACACCAGCGGACGATAACTATAACGATAACTATATTAGTGTTCACACCAGTGGACGATAACTATAACGATAACTATATTGGTGTTCACACCAGCGGACGATAACTATAACGATAACTATATTAGTGTTCACTCCAGCGGACGATAACTATAACGATAACTATATTAGTGTCCACACCAGCGGACGATAACTATAACGATAACTATATTAGTGTTCACACCAGCGGACGATAATTATAACGATAACTATATTAGTGTTCACACCAGCGGACGATAATTATAACGATAACTATATTAGTGTTCACACCAGCGGACGATAACTATAACGATAACTATATTAGTGTCCACGCCAGCGGACGATAACTATAACGATAACTATATTAGTGTTCACACCAGCGGACGATAACTATAACGATAACTATATTAGTGTCCACACCAGCGGACGATAACTATAACGATAACTATATTAGTGTTCACCCCAGCGGACGATAACTATAACGATAACTATATTAGTGTTCACACCAGCAGACGATAACTATAACGATAACTATATTAGGGTCCACACCAGCGGACGATAACTATAACGATAACTATATTAGTGTTCACACCAGCGGACGATAACTATAACGATAACTATATTAGCGTTCACACCAGCGGACGATAACTATAACGATAACTATATTAGTGTTCACACCAGCGGACGATAACTATAACGATAACTATATTAGTGTTCACACCAGCGGACGATAACTATAACGATAACTATATTAGTGTTCACACCAGCGGACGATAACTATAACGATAACTATATTAGTGTCCACACCAGCGGACGATAACTATAACGATAACTATATTAGTGTTCACACCAGCGGACGATAACTATAACGATAACTATATTAGTGTTCACACCAGCGGACGATAACTATAACGATAACTATATTAGTGTCCACACCAGCGGACGATAACTATAACGATAACTATATTAGTGTCCACACCAGTGGATGATAACTATAACTATAACTATATTAGTGTTCACACCAGCGGACGATAACTATAACGATAACTATATTAGTGTTCACACCAGCGGACGATAACTATAACGATAACTATATTAGCGTTCACACCAGCGGACGATAACTATAACGATAACTACATTAGTGTCCACACCAGTGGATGATAACTATAACTATAACTATATTAGTGTTCACACCAGCGGACGATAACTATAACGATAACTATATTAGTGTTCACACCAGCGGACGATAACTATAACGATAACTATATTAGTGTTCACACCAGCGGACGATAACTATAACGATAACTATATTAGTGTTCACACCAGCGGACGATAACTATAACGATAACTGTATTAGCGTCCACGCCAGCGGACGATAGCTATAACGATAACTATATTAGTGTCCACGCCAGCGGACGATAACTATAACGATAACTATATTAGTGTTCACACCAGCGGACGATATCTATAACGATAACTATATTAGTGTTTACTCCAGCGGACGATAACTATAACGATAACTATATTAGTGTTTACACCAGCGGACGATAACTATAACGATAACTATATTAGTGTTCACACCAGCGGACGATAACTATAACGATAACTATATTAGTGTTCACACCAGCGGACGATAACTATAACGATAACTATATTAGTGTTCACACCGGTGGACGATAACTATAACGATAACTATATTAGTGTTCACACCAGCGGACGATAACTATAACGATAACTATATTAGTGTTCACACCGGTGGACGATAACTATAACGATAACTATATTAGTGTTCACACCAGCGGACGATAACTATAACGATAACTATATTAGTGTTCACACCAGCGGACGATATCTATAACGATAACTATATTAGTGTTTACTCCAGCGGACGATAACTATAACGATAACTATATTAGTGTTTACACCAGCGGACGATAACTATATTAGCATCCACACCAGGGTTTATTGTTCATTGCGGAATTTTTTTTCTGAAAGTTCATCTAACGATATTGTTCCTCTGTGTTGTGAACTCTGCTATTCCTTTATATTTTAATGATTTTTAGAATTAAATGTTTTTTTGCTATAGTCCTCAGTGTGAACGGGCCTTGCACAATTTCGGTTGTGCGAGGCCCGTTCACACTGAGGACTATAGCAAAAAAGATTTAGGTCTAAAAATCATTAAAATGAGCGTTCCCGATCCGACGCGACCCCTGAAGAGAAGCGATGTGTGTTAAACTGCAGAGAGAGAGTGTGTGTGGAGATGATTGATGATGACATGCTTCAGATAAGAGCTTGTGTGTGTTCACTGCATTTCT